ACTAGTATTTGCATGATATACATTTTTCCATTATTTTACCCTGATGTGTCTTTATCATTATTTCTAAAATGAGTTTCTCATGGACAGCATATAGATTGATCATGTTTTTAAATCTATTTCTCCAAACTCTATTGTCTTTTAATTGGTATGTTTAGAGATATGATGATTATTTTACAGCTTAGATCTATCAATCTAGTTTTTGTTCTTTGGGGAGGCTTTTTGTTTTGCTTCTTACTTTAGTTTCCTTTTCTTATTTTCCCGTGGGTTATATGAATGTTTCTTAGAATTCCATTTTGACCTAACAATTGTGATTTTGAGTGTATCTCTTTGCACATATTTTGTACTTGTGTTAGGCATTACATTACATAATTTATAACATTATCTCATCATTTTATCAGTTTAAGTATAGAATTCTTACCTCCCTTGAAGTTCCTTTACTTTCATCCATTGATAATATAATTCTTAAATATTTCCTGTATGTACATTTTGAACTACATTACACAGTGTTGTATTTTTTTTCTTTACCCGTTTACCTGCTTTCTCAAGAGGAAAAGGAAATCCTATTGCATTTACTCCTATTTTTTCTTTGCTTGTTCTTTTCTGTCTTTTTGAAATTCTAAGGTCCTTTTTTTTAAAAAAAATTCTGTTTAAAGAACTCCCTTTAACTATGTATTTATTAGGTATGCTGGCAACAAATTTTCTTAGCATATTCTGACAAAAATCAGATTTCATTTTCATTTCTGAAGGGTATTTTCACTGGGTGAAGGACTCTGGGTTCAGTTCTTTTCTTTTAGCTCTGAAAAAACACCATGCCACTTCTATACTTAAACTGATAAAATGATGAGATAATGTTATAAATTATGTTTTCTGGGTGAATAATCCTTTGTTATTTGAATTATTTGCCTCTGAAGGTAAGCTGTTTTGTTTCTCTGAGTGCTTTCATGAGGTTTTCTTAAATTTACTTGTGATAGTACCTTCATATGGGTTTCTTTGAGTTTATCTTCTTTGAAGTTCTTTTGAATTTATAAAAGGCAGACTCCATTTGGGGAATTCCAGGTACTCTTTCAGTCCCATCTTTTTTCCCCTCTACTTCTAGGACTGCAATGGCATGAGTGATGGTGGGATCTTAATGTCCTCCCATAAGGCCCGTGTGATAAAGACTTGGTCACCAGCCAGTGACATTATTGGAAGGTAGTGGGACATAGTGGGAAGAGTGAGGTCACTGGAAGCATACCCTTTGAGGTGATGTTGTGACCCCAGCTTCTTCCCCTCTTTTGTTTCCTGGCTGCCCTGAGGTGGATAGACCTCCTCTGCTGCACACCCACATGATGCTCTTGCTCACTACAGGCCCAAGGCAATAGAAACAAGCGACCATTGTCCCAAGTCTCTGAAACCTTGAGCAAACATAAAACTTTTCTCTTTATAAGTTGGTTTATCTCAGATATTCATTATAGTGGCAGAAAGCTGAGTAATGCAACACGGGTGAGCAGTTGCTGAGACTCTTACTATTTTTCAGTCTACTTTCTCTCTGTTGTTCAGATTGGGAAATTTGTATTGCTTTATTTTCTAGTTCATTGATTCCTTCTACTATCCCTTTCATTCTGCTGTTAAGACCAACCATTGAGTTCTTTCTTTATTTTGGTTATTGTATTTTCAGTTATAAAATATTTCTATTTAATTCTTATTTATATGATATTTCTCAGCTACGCTTAAGTTTTTGGTAAGTTTTAAAATTTTCACTTGTTTTGAGCATGTTTATAATTGCTCACTAAACTATTTTGCCATGGCTATTTAAAAATCTTTATCAGGTGTTTTGGTTAGATTTTTATTGCTGTTACCAAAACAGCCAACAAGAACAACTTACATGAGAAAAAGTTTATTCAAGGCTCACTGTGTCAGAGGTCTCAGTCCATAAAAGGCAGACTCCATTGCTCTGGACTTCAGATGAAGCAGAATACCATGGGAGAAGGGCCCAGCAGAAGACAGCTGCTCAGCTTACAGAAAGATGCAGAGAGGAGAGGAAGAGGAAGAGGCTGCAGGGAGAACAACTTAGGGCACACCCCCATGATGACCCACCTGTTCCAGTTACACCCACCTGCCTTCAGGTACCAATCATTCAATCCATTCAAATTAGGATGGACAGATTAGGTCACAGCTCTAATAATCTAATAATACCTCTGAATATATCTGCATTAGCAGGAGTTTTGGGCATCACTCATATCCAAACATTATCGGGTAATTCTAAGATCTCTGACATCTCAGGGTTGGCATCTGCATTCATTTCCCAGGGCTTCTATAACAATGTACCACAAACTGGGTGGCATAATTTGTCTTACAGTTCTATAGGCTAAAGGTCTGAAATCAAAGCATTGTCAAGGCTGCATGCCCTCTGAATCCTTCCTTGCCATTCATAGCTTTTTGTGTTTTGCTGAGAATCTTTGGCATTTCTTGGCTTGCAACTGCAGCTTGCCTTTGTTACAAGACAGTGCTCTCCCTGTCTGTATCTCTCCTCTCTCTAGTCATGTTGAATAAACTAGTATGACCTCATCTTAGTTAATCATACTCCAATGACCCTATTTCCAAATAAGGTCACATTCTGAGATACCAGGGGAAAGGACTTCAACACATCTTTTGGGAGGATGCAACTCAACCTACAACAGCATCTATATATATATATATATATATATATATTTTTTTTTTTTTTTTTTGGTGCTAGGGATTAAACCCAAGAGAACTTAGCCACTGAGCCACATCCCTAGTCACCCCTGCTCTTTAATTTTTTTTTTTTTAAACTTTGAGACAGGGTCTCTTTAAGTTGCTTAGGGCCTCACTAAGTTGGTAAGGCTGGCTTTGAAGTTGTTGATCCTCCTGCCTCAGTCTCCTGAGCTACTAAGATTACAAGCATGTGTCTCTGCATTTGGTCATAGATTGTCCGTTTATATTCAGTTTGAGCTCTTTCTTGTTTTTGGCATGATGAGTGATTTTTTAAATAAAAATCTAGATATGTTTGCAATATATTATAAGATGTTAGATCTTACTAACCCTCTCTCTCTCTCTCTCTCTCTCTATATATATATATATATATATATATATAATGCATATATATTACTTTTTATTTTCTTTTTCTTTTTCTATGTGATGCTGGGACTCAAACCTAGAACGGGGCATATGCTAAGTAAGTGCTTTACTACTGAACAACATTCCCAACCTACATTTTGTTGTTGTTTTATTTTCTTTTCTTTCTGACATTGTTCTGGCAAAGGAAAGAGGAGGTGTCACCTTGTTAATGACAAGTGTGGCACTTGGCTTTACAGTGTGTCCAGTGACACTGTAGTGGCAGTGGTCTGGTTATTACTGGGCTGGGGACTCCTCACTCTCTTCCAGCCTCCTCTGAAGCTGCCCAGTGTAGGAGAGGTGTGCTTGCCTCTCTCAGGTGGGGGAGGGAAAGTGCTTCCTGCTGGACCTCTGGCTATCTTTTTATAGCCACCAGAGGCTGAAAGATGAGGCTTCTTGCTTGGTCTTTGATGGCACAGCTAGAGGTGGGGCTGCCTTCTGTCTGTGAAGTTTGGATGGAGTAAAGCAGTACTGTCAGTTTTGGTCTTTGTCAGGTTACTCTATGGGAGCAGTCTGTACTGCATCAATCTGCCTTATATTTTCTCTCTTTAAAAAACATTTTATAACTTTTACATTTAGATTTCCTTCTTTTAACTTTTTGTCATTTAATCTGTTTTTAAATTAATAATAATGACTTGTGTCACTTTCCCCCCTTTGAAACCTTTTATGTTTTAGCTTCCTCCTAATTTTGTTCTGACAATTCCTGATCAGTTGAATTTGTATTAATCTGAAAAATATTTTTAAATCTTATTCTTTAATTCCTTTCACTTTTCAGTGTAATTTATTTTCTTTCTCTCAATCTTATGCCTTCTTTAGTTTTACCTTCAAAATGTCCTCATGGTTTTATTAGTTCATTTAGGAGATTTTTTATATGAAACTGGGCTAGACACAGGGCCACAGGGCTGAGAGCTGAGAAAGCCTTCTTATGTACAGGGGACATGGGATGCTTTCCCTCTTCTGTCCTACCCTGTTGGCTATCTGGCTGTCATTCCTTTCATTGTGGGGTCTCAAGAAGATCTCACCCTGGGTACTTGAGAGATATGCCAATTTAACTGGCTTGTATTATCCTTGACCTTGTGGAACTGCTTTCACTGAGATCTATTGTAGTGTCTTTCTGCTTCAGCTTTTGGCAAAATACACCATAAGAAACAGGTCTATGAGTCCAGATACCACATTGGCCCAAGACATTCTTTACAAGGTAGCCTACACCATGCAGTATACCTGTAGTGAGATCACATAAAAAAGGACTACTCTGAACAGAGTGCCAAGAACAATTTTTTTATTTTCTAGAGAAATGGCATGGAAAATAAAAATAATATGTTTCTTTTTTCACTTTGGTCACTGGGCAGGTTAGGTCAAATTTGCAGTTTGGTTTCAATGAATGACTGGCAAATCTACAAAACTGCTTATATAATTACAGTTCAATTTATCCCTTATTCTAAGCTTCCTACTTTTATTTGGATTTGACTTTTTTTTGACATTGGCATTTTTTTTTACTTTTGAATATTTCCTTACAGATATGCTGATTTCTTCTAGAAACAAGGTGTGATAAAAATAAGTAGGTCTAATAATTGGGGAAATAATCTTTAAATTCACTCTTTTGGTAAATTATAAGTGTTTCAAATAAATTATCATAGTTGTCCTTGTACATTACAGGTGAATTAGTCACATTCTGAATGGAAAAAGACATACGAACACTGAAATAAAGTTAGTCAATAGATGAATCAACTCAGTAAATCAAGAGGTCCTGGACTTTACTTCTTGGTTTTCTTTTATGAAACATCTTTGTCTCTCTTTGCTCATCAACCTAGTGTCTGCTTCACAATCTTATCCTTTCTTATTATCTGTGGTGTCTCAACTGTATTAATTATAGAAAGAGAACTTACTTATTTGTCAGCATTCGATAGTCTGCTACTTTTGTGGACAAATCAAGAATTTGATCCAAAATTTCTGCACATATTTCATAATGCTTTTTATAAGAAGCCTTAGCTCTTTCCATAGCAATCTGGGCATGAAATTCCTTCTCTCTGAGGATCTGTTCTTCAAAATCAATCTTGGCTTGTTTTGCCAAAGCCTAAAAAGGCAAAAACATATTTTAAGCCACTATCATTGTGCAATGAGTCAAATGAAAATTATGTTATCTTTTCAGTAGTCCAAAACAAACAAACAAACAAAACCCTTTAAATATAATGAAAGCTTTTAAAAAAAAGCAGGAAGAAGTTAATTATGAATGACCTCTTTCTCCATAATAAATTAAGTACTGAGTATGAAGGCAAAGATAATATAGGAATTATTCTACCTTTAGGTTATCAACAAACTAGTACATTGAGAAGTGATCTGAGCATGGAAAGCAAATGTGGTTAATGATAAATATGATGGTAAAACCTTCCATAAAAATGTCTTGGTTTTACAGGTTGCAAACAGGAATCACAGACCAGAAGCATAAATGGCCCTCACCCCCACCCCAGGAGCCTTGACCTAGACATATCTGCCCTTTGTTTATTAGCAAGGTAGTTCTATGATATTGATTCACACTTCAAAAACATTTTGGAAATTCCCTGATTATAGTGGTTTGAGATCATGACACATTTGACAACATATGTTAAGTGTGTTATGATAGCAACTACAAACCCTGTGGTGTTGTAGCCTTAACAAGTTGATAACCCTCATTTGTAGAAACATCTGTTTCTGTAGAAAGTAATAAAATATTTAAACATTTTGTCAAGACCCTCTACATGGTTGAGGACCCTTTCTTTACACAAAGGGTGAGGAAACATTCAGCTCAGCTTAGCCTAGCTGGGAGTGCACAATACTCAACTGGTGGGATTTGAGTGGCCAAATGTTGCTTATTGATACTTGCATCAGATTCTTGATGAATTAGATCACATGCTAATCTGCTCCATCAAGAAGATCTCCTCCTGTAACTCCACCCAGTCAATGCAAAATGGAAAAATGGAAGTGAACTTGAGCTTTGGAGGAAGCACACTTGAATTTAAGCCCCAGCTTGTGTATAGAATTCAAAAGCTGTGAGAAACTGGATAAGTTGTTTAGCCTCCTTATACCTTCATTTCTGAAAGTGGGGACACTAGCAATACTTAGCATGTCCTGAACCATCTTGTCCGAGTAAGTACTTCTTATCATGATACTATTCATAAATGACTGAGGGCATGACAGTGAATTGGTATGTAAGGCCACCATCTGTTTTGCTGTTGCTGGTGTATTTTGCATGTTTTGTTTTGTTTTTGGTGGGAACCTAGTTGACCTGGATGACCTCTGTTTAGTACATTTGGTACAGTTAGGAATTACACCAGAATTTACCATTCTTGTATTGTTTCATAAGCCTTATTTTCATGAAGAAAAAAAAATACAATTTAAATAAAAAGCTTAATGGCATGCTTTATGAGCTGTGAAGAGTTTACAGGAAACAGAAATGTAAGAGACTAAGAAAATCAGATGAGAATTTATGGATAGCGTGGCACTAAACTGGGTCATGAGGTTGGTTTACCAGTTTTTGAGAAACATCTGGAAATATTTAGAATGTGAGGAAAACCAAATCTTGAAGGGGAATAGAAGACTCTCCTCTCAGCAACAGAACAACTGCCTGTTTCTCCATTTTCCTCCCTTCCTCCTTCTGTGTTTTCCTCCCTTTCTTTCTTCTCCCCTCCTTTCTTTCCTTCCCCCTTCCTCCATTCCTCCTGTCCATCCAGCTATCTTGTCTTCCTTCCCCTCCTTTTCTGTGTCTACCACTAACTCTGTGTGAAACCCACCACAATTTCCTGTCTCATGACAGCAAAGTAGGTTGCAGCCCTAAAAAGAGAAAGAAGGAAAGGAAAAAGGAAGTCAGTGGGAGGTACCAAATCTCGGTGGTTATGAACTTGGATTCTAGAGTCTGATAGAGCAGGGTTTGCTCCTGCTGTAGCGCTACAAGCTGTGACTTTGAGCCTTCAATGTTTCATTTTCTGTCTGCGTAAAATTTAAATAAGGGTTGTGTCTACTTGTGGCTGTTTCAGAATTAAATGTGCATGCAATGAATGCAGTGCAGTGCTTGACTCAAAGGGATTGAGGGATAAGACAAGGAAAGAATGTGGCCTGGAATTAAGCTTTGAGGAACCTTGACAATAAATGCATTGGTTTCAGAAGAGAAAGAGCCTGCAAAAGGAAGTGCTCAAAATGTTAAATATGATTGCAGTTGATTATTGGTAACAATAATAGTAGGTGGCACAGAAATTGTAAGTCAGGAATTGTCTCCATATAGAATGGCTGTTCAATTGCCTTAAAGGAAGAGGTCTGCAGATTTAATTTTAAAAGAGAACAAAAATTTTTTTAAAAAATCTTTTGAAGGCTAAAATCACAAAGTTCTTTTTCTCCCTCTTCCTTTAAAATGTAGCAGATATTGGGAGAGGGCTTATGCAGAGCAAACTATTTTCTATGCGTGCATGATTATGTCAAAGTAAACTCTAATATTATGTATACCTATTATGTAGTAATAAAAACAATAAAAAATTGAAAGGCAATCATAATTCTGCTTTCCTGGGGGCTATCATGGCAGTAGGATTTGCAAACAGTCATAAAGCCACATGAATAAATGTCAAATCACACACTATGATGTGTCACCAGGGATAGACTGTGAGTATAGGGACACATCGTAGGGGTGTTGACCTAGACAAGAAGAGGCAAGTACACAGGGCTCTGAACAGTGAGTTCACTGATGAAAGCATGTGGCAACAGGGGAATGATGAGAGAAATGACTTATTCAAGGATCTTAGAGCAGAGAGAGATAGCCAGAGCCCAGGGGGCAGAGGAGAAGAGGGGTCATGAACCAGTATGTCGCTGATGGGGAGCCAGGGATGTGATTCTGAGTGAGAAGACAAAGGTCAAATCTGAACATCAGTAAGATGGCTCTGACTGCAGAATTGAGAGTGGATTGCAGGAGATGAGAGAGGAGATCAACTGCCTGTATGTTGTCTATAATTACTCCCTTTCTTCCTTTTAAGCAGTTAAAAAAAAATAACTGCTGCTTTAGGAAATTTCTGTAGTACAAAAAGCCAAAAAGGTTGAAGGATTCTTCTGATTTTAGTGAGAGACCAAACTCAAAGGCAAAATAATATAGGTATCTCAGATGAAAGAAGGTTTTCAGCAAGAACAGAAAGAGGAAAAGCCATACATCCTATAACCTGGCAACACCTGGGAAGCAGCAAAACCTCAAAGTGGATAATGTGGGGGACCATAAAAAGCTGGAGCAGCCTCCCCAGGACTGCTGTGCCACTAAGGGGCACACGTGGACTGTGGTAGCTGTGGTGTCGGTGGCAACAACTGGACGTGGGCCTGAGGAATGCAGTGTTATCCCCAATGACTTGACCCTTATAGCAGGGGCAGTGTGCATCTGTGTGGGCAGAGGTGGATTGCTGGAGCCCAGCTGAGGTTGAGCTAAAGAACATAAACAATGTTATGTCCTTTCATACCCCAGCTTATGGCTACCAACTCATATATACCAAAAATGGATGAGGGAGACCACTGTAGCAGTAGAAAGCAGAGGTGGTGGTATAGATTCTGAAAAACAGACATATCAAAGAAAAGGTGAGTACACAAAATTGATAGGACTTCAGGATGTTTTAGATATGGAGAAGTAAGGGTGAAGCTGGTTTCAAGTGGGTCATAGGTTTGGACTTGCAAAAGCTGATAAATATTGAGGCCATTTGTTGAGCTATGAAACCTGGAAAATGACAAGTTTAGTGAGGAAGATCACAAATTTGACCCTGAACATGTCGAACTTGAAATGCCCCTGAAATATATGACTAGAGGTGTCAAGGAAGCAGTTAAACCCATGGATCTACACCTCAGAGGGCAGAGACCTTAAGTGAACGAGTCATTGGTCTATTGCGGGAATTTCACCTCATGGTTGTGGATGGGATTGAGGAATAAGACAAGGAAAGAATGTGGCCTGGAACTAAGCTTTGAGGAACCCTGACAATAAATGCATTGGTCTCAGAACAGATGGGCCTTCAAAAGAGGCTGAGAAGGAGATACCAGAAAAGCAGGAGGATAACTAGGAAACTGTTTTCCACAGCAGAACTCGAGGGAAGTTGACCACAGAACAGCAAGTCAAGACAATTATATAAATAACACAAATATTAATAGTCTGCCAACATTGTTAAGAAACTTTAAAAATATCATAAACGTAAAGCTGTTTCTAGAATTCACTCCTTCCTGACACCCACAAACAATAATAAAAACTATAAGAACAGCAAATGCAAACTAAAGAAAAACGGCAATGTAAAAAATCCTACCTTCTTCACAATCAGGAAGTAGAAGAATATGGTGCTTTAGTAAATACATTTTGTGTAGTTAGTGAATGATATTAGAAAGAAAAAGTAGCAGTATTCATTTGAAAAACTGAATTCAGCACCTTTATTGGGCTCTTTATTATATACCAGCTATTTGTTGTTGAAAAATTCAATATTTATGGGTGAAAACAAATCCTACATCTATCAGGAAGAGGTGCCAGAACAGCAGATATCTCAGTTGTAGAAACGGTAATTGTGTAAGAGGAGAGACTGTCCTTTGTTTCAGGTGCTTCAGAACCTCCCTGTTTAGGTTTCTGAGGCTTTAGCAGGTCTGAGTGTCCAAATCCTCTGATGTCAGTTCAAATTCAGTTAAAGAAAGAACAAGTGAGGTGACTCAGTGGCACCTGCCTGTAATCTCAGCTTCTTAGGAGGCTGGGGCAGTAGAATTGTTCAAGCCCAGGAGTTTGAGGCCAGCCTGGGCAACACAGCAATATGCCTTCTTGAAAGAGAGAAGCTAGGGGTGGGAAAGGAAATAAATAAATAAACAAATAACAGGTGATGTGGTGATGCTTTTCATTCTAATGAGCGCAGTCCAACTAAAAAGAGCTTTGCTTTTAATTAATTGGGCTTGTGAAGGAAACCTATTTTCCAAACAGTGAGTTAGAAAGATAACTAAACATGTCATTTCTAATGTAAATGAATACTATTCAATACATCCAAGTCCACTCTTACCTATGAGATGGAGGAAACAATCAGGTAGTTCAGTTCTTGAGGCCTAAGAGAACCCTGGAGGTCAGCATTCATGCACCTCAAGTTCATGTGGTATGGATCCCCACCTCCACCATTTAGGGTCTGCCCGTTCTACAAAGAAGAACATTACTTTCCTTTCCTGACTCTGGAGAGTATGATAGTTTCTAAATGATATTTCTAAGAATGGCACCATCGGAGAAAACAGCATGCCTGGAAGCTCTATCTTGGTTTCCATGTAACATTGTCAAGTGCAACACTCCAGAGGAACCTAGGTCAATGACTCCTTAGAGTCCTGAGGAAGAAATAATACAATATGGGCCTGAAAAGTCTTGTTTAAGGTTGGTGTATGGAAAACTAATTGTGTCTTGCTGAAAGCAAGCAGCTTAAAAGATCTCACTGCCTGAGATTGTTCACTGAGGATAAACAACACCTGTGCTTCTGTTAGCAACAAGTGGACTTTGAAAGAAAGAAAGTGTTCTGGGTATGTAGAGGAAAAAAAAGTAATGATTAAAGGAAATGAAAAATTGATTATCACCATTTTTACAATAACATGCTATACCTGAAGAAAATGGACTGGTGTATTTAAGGTATTCAAGGAAAATGGTGAACTAAGTAAGCATTTTATAGATAGCAAAACTAACAATCACATATAAAAGGTACACACTCTTATCAGGGAATACTGTTGCCATGAACCCTTCCTGAGGAATTAATTGGATAAGGAGCTTCAGATAATTAAAATAGCCAGAGACATAGAACAGAAGGATTGATGGTGATCATTCAACACTCAGTTTCTTATAGAATTGGGAAGGAAAGAAGGGAGTACAGTAGGTAGTGGGTATCTTCTCTGTTAATGCAGTTTATTTGAATAAAAATGGGTGGCAAATTATCAGGTCATATAAAAAAAATAACTCTCTTTTGGCAATTGACAACAAAATACAGCTTTGTTTACCATGATTTGGTAGAAAGGGTCAAAAGAAACTTCAGAAAGGTTTTTAAGAGAGATAATGTTTACCGCTTCTCGATCAAGAGCATCCTGGAAATCTTTAAGTCGTCTTTCCTCATATTGTTTTTCTCTGAATATTCTGTTTTGCCATAAAACTTCCTTTTCATGCCGCACATGCATGAGCTGCACAGCAATCCTGCGTTCCTGCTGGGACTGTCGCATTAGTCGGTGAATCAACTGCTCCTCTCGATAAGCCTCCTGCAAACACCAGCCAGAGACTAATTATCTATCAAAGCCACATCCAAATTTCCCATTGGGATAAGAAGCCCATATCTAAATAATAAGTAAAAGGCTTAATATTCATATAAATCAATTTCTGCCATTTGATTTAAACTTGAACATGACAAAAGACAAATTATAAAAAAGAAAATTCCCAGAAGAGATTGAACAACCTTTGTTATCTAGAATTATAATGGTCTTGAAACTCACAATTACTTTAAATGAATCATTACTTCTTTTAAAATCTGATTAAACAAATTAGGTGTTTTTCTCCCAGGGTTTTACAAATGAGCAATGTGATTCTCAATTTGTAAGCATGTTTTCAGAAGTTTTGAAATGTGTTATATGCATTCTAACAGAACTACTAGCTGTAAAAAAAAAAAAAAAAAAAAAAAAAGCAGATATTGTCCAGGAAATGAACAGATCAAGTTAGTTCCCTGTGGGGGACATGTCCATATCTGTATAAAGAAAGGCTGAAATCTGAAAGAATGTTAAGACTGATAGGATACGGAGACAAGTTAAGTGGAAATAACTGACTTATCTCTGAAAATATGAGTGGTTATAATCTGAAATGGAAACTAGTTGTATTTATCTATTTTAGGATAATGTAAGGGGAGCGGCAGTAAATGAAGAATGGGGAAAAAATTAAGCAGGAATCAGAGGTCTTGGATCTTGCATCCCGATTGTGTAGTTTTGGGGAAATAGCTCTGTTTTGCAGGTCTATTTCATGACAGGCAGCAATGAGAGGTTTGAAGATGGAAGATGTTCTCTCAGGCCACATCAAGCCCTCTCAATGTGTCTAAACAGAGACATCATGTGGAAAGAGGAGGTAATTTAGTAGTCAATGGGGACTTAGACAAACACCTAAACATTGGAGTTTTACGTTTAATGTTAACAATACAATGATTTATGATTCATCCAATCATTAAATGGCACTGTCTCAGATGATCTCTACCATCAGAAAATTACAGGAACAATATTATATATTTAATAGAACAAAAACACAAATAAAAATGACACTGTATGGTAAATGATGAAGCCTGGATCTGGGCATTATTTAAAAAATGCAAATTTAAGTTCAAGAAATAAGTATTTTTTTTTCTCTTGGTAAGAGAAATGGGGTAAATAACATCATGAGCAACTAACGTTAATAATTGTTTTCCTGCTCAGATCCAATACTGGTGGTGAGGCAGAATGTAAAAATGGTCACAAGTTCTTCCCTCTGTTCATTCTCAGCCTTGCAGTATTTCCCTTCAGGCATCCCAACCAAAAAGTAGAATCTATTTCTCTGCTCCTTAAATATGGAGTATGAATTGACCTGTGGAACATCAGCCCCCAAATCAAAACGTAAGATGTAAGATTAAAAAAAAAAAAAAAGGAAAAGAAAAGAAACATGTGGGGTCAGATTTCCTTCATTCTCCCTTCCACTTCCACCAAGTTCATAGTTTGGTCTACTAAAAAATGAGACATCTTTTGGGGGAAAACACCAGTCTTTTTAGCAGGACCTGACAGTTTTCATAAGTCAGTCAACTCTACCAACCGGCCAAAGACTTAGCAGCAAGCCCTGCGGATCCCAGGCCAAAGTGTTTACCACATTTGGGGGGTAGTTTTGATACATGAGGCACAGTCCCAACAAATATTTTTTTTTCTTAAATATAAACATATTTTATTATTTCGAGTGAAGTATAGGTGATGAGGCTATGTTTATGTGGCAAGGCAATGTAACTTACAAGATTAGATCTGGTCATTTAGCCCCTAGGAAGAACATTGAGTTGGTCAGTTATACTTTGATTATTGCTAGATGATAACACATTATGGTTAAAGTAGGAAAAAGAGAAGGAAATTACTATGGCTAAGTCAATTCTATGCATATGAATCCTCATTATATAGAACCAGAAAGTGTGTTATACTCAAAAGCTGAGTGGAAAATATAAATTTTTTATTCTTTTGTACAAGGAGTTCTCATTTTAAAAACAGTCTGTTTCCCCCAAATCTCAATGGAATTTAGTATATATTTTCTCATAGAAATTAAGATATAAGTTATTATTAGGAGCTCAGGATAGACTATAAATGTTCATTTAACCTAGAACATGGATGTTTGCCATGAACAAAATGGAAAAATCATAGAAGACTCACTTCTGTTTTAATTATATTTACTATGTTTGGAGAGAATTTAAACAAATCTACAATCCAGAATAGTATCAACTTGATTGCCAGGCTCTCTGCTTCTCCCATGAGTTGGAACTAGAAGTTTACATAGGTCCACAGCCATTGCTTAATTCTTCAAAGAGGCCCATGCAGCTCTCATGGAGGAGTGGGCTACTGCAGGAAAGACCCAGCTAAATATTCAAGGAGCTTTAAGCTATGAAGTGAGGGAGGGGTCTGATATTTGAATGTCAGCACAAAGAAAATATTGTAGGAAAGGTTCTTGGCAGACAGAGATGTCTGATTGGGGGCCAAGAATTAACCAAGAAGCTAACCAAATGGCTCAGTGCTTTTATTTTTATTTTTTTCTTCTCTTTTCTTTTTCTTTTCTTGTGTTCCCAGTCTGAAAGTCTTCATCTGAACACCTTGAAGTATTTTAAACCCAACGAGTTAAGAACCAAATTCCCTAATCCCCTTTCAGACCTGGTCCTTTTCCCATATTTCCCCATCTCAGGTGATGATCCTATAAGAATCCTGTGTTGTAAGATAACAGGGCCAACCTAAGTCTCTTTTACTACTCCTAATACCTAATTCTTCCAGTAGTCATCTATCATATAATCTATGCATGGTTTAAAATGACCCCTTACTCCTTTCTGTACCCACTGGCACCCCTAACCTTGGTGACATCATCCTTTCCTACCGTGCCTTCCTTCCCCTCCATTCCCACTCATAACACTTATGCTCCAAAAAGCCAAAGTAAACTTTCTAACTAAATTTCATAATTTAATCCACAGAATTCCCCTTTTTGAGGGATCACTGGGAAAGATTACAACTCATGCTCAGGGCTCTGGCTGTCCTCACCAGCTACACTAAGATGAGGGCATATAAATTCCACAGGAGAACTGCGACAGCTAAGGAAGATATTTTGAGACCTTTTTGATAGATTCATGAAAATGGAGCCAGAAGAAAAGCATCCAGGGCTGACGGGATTTATGTCTTCCTGTTGAAAAGCAGGGGTACCAGAAGGAAGTAGAGGAGGGCCTAGCCCTAATAAATAAGCATTTTCTCTTTGAAGATAAAGGACAGATGGACAAACAGGCCATGTGGCACATGAAAATAACCCACCCCACCATTGTGCACTCATGTCCTTGGGTCAGTGGCACAGGGAAGCTGGGTACACTGTACTCCATGGACAGGAGGCCATGAGAGCAGAGAACCCTTGCTGCAGGAGGAAGACAGCAGCTTTCCCAGTCATAGAGAAGCAGTAGCAGGAAATGGGGTTACCGTGAAGGAGGTACCCAGAGCCCTGACTCTTGTGTACCAGTTTGGAATCCCAAACTGATAAACCAAGCTCTAGCTTTAGTCTTCACATCTTCACAATCAATACTAACAGTATCCTAATGGGAAGTGTGGGAAGCAAGATAGATTTTATTCACCCCCCTTTCCAGGTAAATATCAGGCCTAAATTTTAGGCTGAGAAAACCTTACCACCAACACACAAGTGTTTTGTAACATCAATGTGTGTCCAACTTTCCACTGCTAAATGACAAAGCTTGAAATATGTAAGTTTAAAGAAATCTTTTCAATTATTTAATTTTCTTAATTTATAATTCTAAATAAAAGAAAGATGATCAAGCTGAGTAAAAAAATCCGTGAATCTGAAGAAATAACCTTTTAACACAAAGAGATGTCCTAGAGTGAGGAAGGAGTGGGAACCCTTGAATAGTTTATTTCCTCATATTTACACAGTGGCTTACTAACACCCCTATGTCTATAAGCCATTAAATTATATTGATTTTGCTTCTAAACCATCTCTTTTGAAGTCATTTCCCTTAATCCCCACTGTCATTACTCTAAATTCAGAGTGGGATGATCTGTTACCTGGATTACAGCAATAGCTACGGCTTGTTTTGCCCTCCTGCGATAATATTCTTCAAATTTAAGCCAGAATAATCTTTTAAAAGGCAAGTCTGACCTCATCACTCTTGTTCCTCTTTGCACTCAAATAGGAAATTGTAAAATCTCCTTTCTTCCTCTATGTTTTCATCATGATTTGGTCTCTGGTGACTCCTGCCACATGACTCGATTTTTAGTTAACTAAAAGCACTGAGCCTGCCCTGATGCACGCCTGTAATCCCAGCAACTTGGGAGGCTGAGGCAGGAGAATCCCAAGTTCAAAGCCAGCCTCAGCAACTTAATGAGGCCCAAAGCAACTTAGTGAGACCCTGTCTCAAAATTAAAAAAAATAAAATAAAAAGGGCCGTGATCTGTCTCAATAGTTAAGCACCCTGGGCTCAATCCCCAGTATCAAAAAAAAAAAAAAAAAAAAAAAAAAAAAAAGAAAAAAAAAAGAAAAAAAAAATCAGAATAAAAGAATAAAAGCACTGAGCCTTCCTTTCCACATAATCTTCTCACTTTTGGAAACTCACTTCACCTTCCACCATCTTCATAACCCCTGGTAACCCTCTCACCTCCACCCCCACATCCATTCCCAACTTCAGTCAGTTAACTCCTGACCCTTCTCCATGCTCCTGTTGTGGTTCTTCAGATGCCACCCTCTGCACCAGGCTAGGTGGACCAGCCTGCTCTGGCTCTGGGTCACCTACCTCCCCCCCATCACCTTATAGCACTTTACCCTTGAATGTTCTTGCCTGTTTACAAATCCTCTCTACATAGTGAGGTGGGAGAAATCAGGTGTCTTGTTATTACTACTCTTCATGCTATCTCTGGGCCTCACAAAAGTCCCCAGAGCACCAAAGAGATAAAGGGAATGTGTGTTCCGTGTAAAAATTGCTCAGTGATTCTATTACTGTAACTGTATCAAAATCACCATGGGGACCCACACCCAGAGTGTCTGATTCAGCTTGGTGGGGCCCAGTTATTTGTTTTACTAAAATCCCCTGGTGATGCTAATGCTGCAGGTCCAGGAACCACATTTTGAGAACCACTGGAGTAGACTAATGAACAAATTTTGAAGATGAACACCTCTTTTGCCAGAAGTTCTCTTTGCTTCTAGAAGTAACAAGAGACCATATGGATAGTATAGATTTTAGATCTTTTTTTCATCGGTGTTTCTTTATTGTGGTAAAATACACATAAGGTGAAATTTACCATCTCAACAATTTGTAAGTGTACAACTCAGTGGTATTAAATAAATTCATAATTTTGTGCAACCATCAACAGATTTTAGGTTCTTTAACAAATATGTAGGGTTTTTTCCCCCTAGGCATATTTGCTATTCTGATGTGAGGATAGACCAGTGACACTTGATGCAGAGCGCAGACAATACATGTATAAGATACACATTTGTGTAAATAGAAGATGACAGTGTGTAAAGTTCCCAGCACCTTTAAGCATCTAAGTATCTTACCTCCTGTGCTTCATGGGCTATTAACTGGTCCATTAATAACCTCCGCCGTCTTTTCTCCCTTTGCTCCCGTGCAAAAGCATCTTCTTCTAAGCGCTTCTGGATTTTTTTAATGTAGTCATCATCCGAGTAAGTGTTTAACAAATCAGTAGTTATATGGTCTGCTGTATCTAAAGAAGTCTTGGATGCACTAAGGACAATAATTTTTATTTTAGATTTTAAAAAACAATGTGACTACACATCATTACTTTGTGACTATGGAAGACCTCCAGCGAAGCTTCCTTGAGATCTCTGTTAATTTGTGAACACAAGCAGTGAAGCAAATATGAGATCCGCAGTGTGACACCCAGAGCTTATCACAGATTTCATTTGTTCCCCCTGTTTCTGAATGCAATCTCTGTGAGGTCCTTCGCATAGCCCTCTTTCTAGGCCCAACACTCTTTTGTTCTTTCACATTCTTTGATCTGCAGTCTACCTAGAGATTCTGAACTTCTCTCTCTTTTCCCTGCTGCCTCCTCTGCTTCTTTCTTCTTGCCTCTCCTGTTTGAAGTCAATAGAAGGTAGCCTGTGGATTAACCACATGTAATGAAAGGCACACCTCTGTGACAACAGACCACACACAGTGATGTCAGGTCACTAGACTGTGCTTTTAAGGGTGGCTCCATGGACTGCCACTTTGTTCTGATCTTTGATGATGCAAGGTGTTCTCTGAACTCCCAGGTGAATATCTGACTGCTTAGGTCAGAGGCTTTTCCGTAAAGAATGAATCTGCATTATATACTTCTGTGGCCCTCCCTTTTTCTCAAAACAGCTTCAGTTTTATTCAGGGGAGTAACATCCCCAGCCAGACTACATTTCCCAGTCTCCCATTTTGCTAAATATGCCGTGAAACTGAATCATAGCCAGTAAGCTATAAGCAGAAATGTTATGGGGCATCTGCGAATGCTTTCTAAAGGAGCTATTTCAGATAGGAGGTACTATGTTTTGTCTATCTTCCTTCCTGAGGGCCTACTGTCCAAAGACCCAAAAAGCTGTCTTGTATCACGAATGTGACAGGATAATGAAGAAAAAATGAAGTAAGGAAGATTTTTGGCCCTTGATGACGTTGGAGCTCCAGCACACATTCTGTAGTGCTCACCTAACAATTTCTGTTATATGAGAGAGAAGTAAACATTTCTCTAATTTAACCCTTGTTGTTTTTAGATTTCTAAAGGTAACTAATACAGACCTGGGGTCAGGCTGTGTTGCAAAGGCAATAGGAAACAGGGTAAATATTTGTAGCTGTATAGTTCAGAAATGATCTTGAAAACATTTAATAACAGACATGGCAAGGACACTAATCAATCAAAATGGATGCTGGAAGGGCTTGGAGGACACAGCTGTGCTTCATGTTAACTCTAATTGCAAAATTTCTTGAAATTGAGGGGTCCTAGCAAAGAAGGTATGGGGAAAATGATTTACCGACAAGTAACATGTATTTCAGTATTTTGAGATGGGCATCATCTGTTTATCACCCTAGAGCATGTGACTGGTGAGATGAGTAAAAGAGGATAAGTAGAGTTTTTCATGGACCAAAGTCAGGGTGGGTGTAATGGGGTTCTCTTGGCGGATGCACAGATGAGTCAGTTTGGATTATGCTGCTTTTACATGTTAAGAAGGCCTATTGATGAATGAGAATGAGGATCAGATCAAGGCATCCAAAATTTCTACAACCGAGTGTAGTGGCACATACCTGTAATCCCAGCCACTCAAAAGGCTGAGGCAGGACTTCAAACTATACTACAGAGCAATAGTAACAAAAACAGCATGGTACTGGTACCAAAACAGGCAGGTGGACCAATGGTACAGAATAGAGGACACAGAAACCAATCCACAAAACTACAACTATCTTATATTTGATAAAGGGGCTAAAAGCATGCAATGGAGGAAGGATAGCATCTTCAACAAATGGTGCTGGGAAAACTGGAAATCCATATGCAACAAAATGAAACTGAATCCCTTTCTCTCGCCATGCATAAAAGTTAACTCAAAATGGATCAAGGAGCTTGATATCGAAACAGAGACACGGCATCTGATAGAAGAAAAAGTTGGCTACGATCTACATACTGTGGGGTCGGGCTCCAAATTCCTCAATAGGACACCCATAGCACAAAAGTTAATAACTAGAATCAACAAATGGGACTTACTCAAACTAAAAAGTTTTTTCTCAGCAAAAGAAACAATAAGAGAGGTAAATAGAGAGCCTACATCCTGGGAACAAATCTTTGCTCCTCACACTTCAGATAGAGCCCTAATATCCAGAGTATACAAAGAACTCAAAAAATTAGACAATAAGATAACAAATAACCCAATCAACAAATGGGCCAAGGACCTGAACAGACACTTCTCAGAGGAGGACATACAGTCAATCAACAAGTACATGAAAAAAATGCTCACCATCTCTAGCTGTCAGAGAAATGCAAATCAAAACCACCCTAAGATACCATCTCACTCCAGTTAGATTGGCAGCCATTATGAAGTCAAACAACAACAAGTGCTGGCGTGGATATGGGGAAAAGGGTACACTTGTACATTGCTGGTGGGACTGCAAATTGGTGCAGCCAATTTGGAAAGCAGTATGGAGATTTCTTGGAAAGCTGGGAATGGAACCACCATTTGACCCAGCTATTCCCCTTCTCGGTCTATTCCCTAAAGACCTAAAAAGAGCATGCTACAGGGACATTGCTACATCAATGTTCATAGCAGCACAATTCACAATAGCAAGACTGTGGAACCAACCTAGATGCCCTTCAATAGACGAATGGATAAAAAAAAAATGTGGCATTTATACACAATGGAGTATTACTCTGCATTAAAAAATGACAAAAGCATAGAATTTGCAGGGAAATGGATGGCATTAGAGCAGATTATGCTAAGTGAAGCTAGCCAATCCCTAAAAAACAAATGCCAAATATCTTCTTTGATATAAGGAGAGTAACTAAGAACAGAGTAGGGAGGAAGAGCATGAGAAGAAGATTAACATTAAACAGGGATGAGAGGTGGGAGGGAAAGGGAGAGAGAAGGGAAATTTCATGGAAATGGAAGGAGACCCTCAGGGTTATACAAAATTACATACAAGAGGAAGTGAGGGGAAAGGGAAAAATAATACAAGGGGGAGAAATGAATGACAGTAGAGGGGGTAGAGAGAGAAGAGGGGAGGGGAGGGGAGGGGGGGATAGTAGAGGATAGGAAAGGCAGCAGAATACAACAGACACTAGTATGGCAATGTGTAAATCAATGGATGTGTAACTGATGTGATTCTGCAATCTGTATTCGGGGTAAAAATGGGAGTTCATAACCCACTTGAATCAAAGTGTGAAATATGATATATCAAGAACTATGTAATGTTTTGAACAACCAACAATAAAAAAAAGGACGGCAAATTCAAAGTTAGCCGCAGCAACTTAGTGAGGCCCTCAGCAACTTAGTGAGGCCGGTCTCTAAATAAAATACAAAAAGGGCTGGGGATTTGGCTCAATGGTAAAGTGCCTCTGGGTTCAATCCCCAGTACAAAAAACAAAAACAAAAAACAGTTTAAGTATCTCCACTCTGCTTGATTTTCCTTCCACTCCTGACCTTTCCACTATTTCTTCCCTTTTCCCTTATTTCTCCTCATTTGACTTTGTATCTCATTCCTTCAGAAGTATTAATATGGAGCCGACATTGTAGTTTGTTTCTGTCTTATTTTTTAACAGAATTCTTTCATAGTCTAAAAAAATATAAATGAATAGAGTTTGGATAGTTTTCATTTTAAAAGGCAGAAGAAAAACCAAATTGCTTCTAAAATATGTAGTCTCTAATGAATTATCGTCAGGGACCTTCAATAGGAAGCAAAGGGGTTAACAGGATCTTTATCTTTAGGAAAATAAAATTTATTAAGGAGGTACTATTTTCCAAGAACCCACCAAGCTGATAGTCCTTGTAATAGTCAGTCAACAAATCATTCAACAACTCTTTATTGCTGGTCCCTGTGCTAAATGCTAAGGATGCAACATGAAAAATCAAACTCGAGTTGAATGAAGGCTTTGCTGTGACACATTTCATTTACTAGTATCTTGAAATAATTTTAGTGAATGTTTAAAAAAAAGTGTGTGAAGTTAGAATAAACATGGTACATCTTTCTTCAATCTTCTTATCAAGATTCTCCATAGTGAAAGATTCCTGGAATTGTTATACCAGATAAACTATTTCAAAACTATTTAAAGCTTATGAATACAGTTCTGTGATTATTAAAATAGTTCATAGCCCACCTTTCTTTTGCCTGGAGATCCTTTTTTATTAATGCTTCAAACTTCTTAATCTCATTGGCCACATCCTTTAAAGAAAAAAAAATCATCATTAGTTCTGTGCCCTAACTGGAACCATTGAAAATCTTTATTTACCATTTTCATTTAAGTTTATAAAGTGACATACTAATCAAGATAATTAGGAGCCAAGATATGAAAATCTGCATTCTAGAACATTTTTACAATTCCAATTTGTTATTTTTAGACTAGGTTAACAAAATAGGAAAACTGCCTAACCTGAATCATTTAGTTCACAATTCTAATAATACACCAAAGGGCAGTGAATTAAAGTGAAGAATATCAGAGTCAGGGCATGGATTTGAGAGATATAAATATTGCTCTAAAAATTGTTGACGTGGATGTCTTAATCAATGCAACCTTATTTATACTATTCATTCGTTCTCTGAAAATCAGCTTATTCTTGTGCATTACAAATCCTTATTAATAAACTTTGATCAACTCTCAGAGAAATATGAGAGTTAAATAGCAAAATGAGGTCAGCAAAAAGCCTCTGTCATGGTATTTTTTAGAATACAAGGACTTTGTTTGTTTTTTGTCTTTTTTTTGTGGAAAATAGAAATGTGTTGGATTAATGGATTCAGGAATAATCGAGAGATCCATCAATTTCTGCTTTATCCGCACTGGTGAACATGAGTAAAACGTGTCAACTTTCAGAGTTTAAGTTCTCTTATCTACAAAATGGGAAAATAACATTCTACTAAGAGAGTTATTTACAAATTAAAGATAATGTGAAATGCCAACCTACATCTTAAAATATAGTAGATGTACACTAAATGGTAGCTCTTTTTCTTCTTAGGTCACACAAGATTATATCAACAATTAAGAGTTACTATCAAATTGTAGTATTGATCTCCTATGAAATATAAACAGATTTTATCCTATTGTAATGATTGAAAGTTGATCTAGTAAAATACCACCAGTGTAGGAATCTTGAATTGAAATATACTGATAGCATAGGGATCCCAGTTAATATTCCTGGGATCCATAGCAAAATCGTGCTGCATCCTGAGGAAAAATGATATATAAGGTGTGTGTATCTTATAAGGTATGCTGCACCCATGGCAGTCATGACACATTCTGATCCCTTTTGTTAGCAACCATAGAATGCTTCTAAACAGGGGCTGGGTCTGTAGCTAAGTGGTAGAGCACTTGCCTAGCACATGTGAGGCACTGGGTTCCATCCTCAGCACCACATAAAAAATAAATAAAAAAGTAAAATAAAGGTGCGTGTGTGTGTGCGTGTGTGTGTGTGTGTGTGTGTGTATTGCTTCTGAACAAGGAGTCTAGACCAGTGCTGCCATTTAATAAGAATTTGCCGAGCCTGGCCAAAAGCTATTTTCTCTATAAAACCTACAAATAACAGTGTAAAATGGATTGGATATGCATAGACTAGAGAAATTTTGATTAAAGAAGGGACAAGGCCAGAGGTAATTTGAAAAGCAAAAATTTCACAGTTCTCTAATACTTTAGGGAAAGATCTTTTTTTAAAAAAATTATGATAAACACAACATAATAGTAAGGATCATCACTTACCTCTGCCTCTTTTTTCTTTTTCAGCATTTTTTGTGCCTCAAGTGCTTTCAAAGTACGATTGGATGTAGGTTTAGGAATCTGTATGATGGCTGCTTGGATTTTGGCCATTATTTCATTTTGTCGTCTTCTGCTTAAGCGTTGCTGAGTATCCCATATATATTAATTGAGTTTTTCAGTTTGTCAGAATAATAGGTAATGTAATACATGCACAGATAGACAGACATACAGTTTCTATATTGAAAATTTTAGAACTCAGCAATTGACCAATAGAATAGGTATTGCAACTGTGTAGTTTGGAGGCAGTGGTCAATATGATTTACTTTGAAAATTATAAGGTTGAAACCATTTTGAAGTCCCCAAATATATCTGTCAAGTATGTACATTTTCATCCCACATGATAATACTAAAGGATAATAAAGGTGGTGCAGATATGAATATTATATTGTTTCCCAAGTCCACCTTCATGATCTACACAATCCAAGAAAGTGAAAATTCCATCCCTGAATATGGTCTGTAGGAAAAACTCAGTCTAGGAATCAGACTCTATGAGGACTCCTGGGAAACCCAATAGAAATGACAGCTCCCCCAAAACCCAGTCACACCTGAACATGAATTAGAGGCTACTTCAGAAACTAAATAGACACCAAATTACGTGTCACTATTGGATCATTTCATCAGTGTATAGTAATTATTTTAAGAAGAAAGGTGCAATTTAAAGTTTTTAAAGCCCCCAAATCTTTAAAATCAGATAAAATATTTTAAAAACAAATGATTTAAGAGGCAACATATGAAACTTACCATGTCTTTACCACTAAAGAATATTAGAACCCATAAGACTATTAGTTTCTACATTCAAGAATCAAAAATATAATTTATCATTAAAAATGTAAAAAGTAAGGGCTGGGACTGTCGCTCAGTGGTAGAACAGGTGCCTGGCATGTGTGAGCTACTGGGTTTAATTCTTAGCAGTGCATATAAATAAACAAAATAAACGTCTATCAACAACTAAAAAACAAACAGAAAAAACTAAAAAAAATTTTAAATGTAAAAATTGTAGATAATTTAAGTTTTTCTCATTTCACACTCTCAACTGTGAATTATTATTTAATTTAAATAAGTTTATCTCTTTTTCTGAAGGAAGTCGTAGGCTCTCTCTTTTGACTTATTTGCTTCTTATGATCATTTTAAAAATAATTTATTACAGAATATTTAATGGCATCATATTTCCTTTCTCCCAACTTTCTTTGGAAATTTTCTGCATTGCACTTGGCACTTTAAAGCTGGACTGGCTGGTCCTATATGAACTAGAGTCCAGCACTTTGTCCCAATTTAAGTAAGACTTTACCAGTGCCCTTCCTCCCAGGCATTTAATAGAAGCATAAGATCTTCTAGAGTTTGCCTCTCATCTTCTCCTTCTTCCCCACAGAGCTCACAACATTTAAGTTATATTAATTTCACATATCTTAGGCATAATAATTTAGAAAGTGATTTTACAATAGGAATAACTATAATTCTTTGCCTCCAGTTTATATACTCCATACACTCAGCTACCTCAAATTCTCTTTAAAAGTCTTAAATGATTTGGCTCCTCATTATCCTCTCTTGTCCTTTAATATGCAAATCATTATAGATTTTCAAAGAAATGTGAGAAGAAGAGAGTTAGTCAAAGCAGAAAGCAAGTTGCTGGAAGGAGTTAAGAGATGCTTAAGATGGTTACAAAAGGAAGCAAGCAGAGAATTGACCCACTAGAGGGAAAAGGGGAAGGGTAGGAGTGGAAAAAGGGGGAAATGTCTACTTTCACTCCCTCAGGGTTGACCAAGGTCATGAGCCTTTGATCATCTGGGAAACTAGTAGAAAACCTCCATTGCTAAAGCAATTGAAGGGACTTTCACCATGACAGAGACCAAGTTGTTCTGCCAAGCAGACAGAGAAAGCAGTTATTGTTCTCACTCACCATTGGACTTGATAGACTGCAAGAGTGAGGTTGAGGAGAAGGGGAAAAGGAGGGCAGGGCAAAGTCATGCATCAGTAAAATGCAATTTGTGTTATTTTACTGCTTATGCAATGTGTACAATAGGCATAAATCTCAAATAGTATACTCTGCACTAATGAATTTCTGGAAAAATTATTCTATAAAAACCTTTCCATACTAAAATATCTTTGTTCTTCCTTGAGTTTTTGAAATCTTTCAAGGTTCTCAAAATGCATTTGGGCAAGTTTTTCTTTCATTTGTGTATATTTTTCTTGAAACCTGTCTGTAACCCGCATCAGATGGAGATTGATTTGACATGGTATTATGCTTTTATTTCTAAATGAAGAAAGTATTTCAAAAGATTTTGTTATTAAAGAATAGAAAGTATATTGTCATTATAAGCATATATAAAATTTGTCTTCAGACTAAAATCTCTTTGAATTGCCCTTGTTGATAGTTAAATTGATTTACCATGTCAATCAATCAGATCTTTAACTGATCTAAGACTATAAAAAGTTATGATTTTAATAGCTCTTTACCAAAGAACCTCATATATGCTTTTATTTTTTCCTTTTTGGTACTGGGGATTGAACCCAGGGTCCTTTTTTTTTAACCCACTTAGCTATATTCCCCCATTCTTATACACTGTATACCTCCCCACACACTTTTTTTAAGACAAGGTCTCACTAAGTTGCTGAGGTTGACCTTGACCTCCTGATTTGGTGGGATTACAGGCATGCTCCATCATGTCTAGTTCATATATACTTCTACACTTAAATTTTTGCCTGAGTTTAATTTTCAGTGAATGGTATTTATATATTTAAAAATACATTTTCACAAAAATGATTTTATAAAACTAATTTCAAATTATAAGAGATAATATAAGAAGACAGATTCTTCCCATTACTTAAGTAACTTCCTAGCAAATAATAACAAAAACATTAAAAACTTCCCTCTGGCTGCCTGATTAGATAAGTTAACCAAACCCTTTGTGCACCAGCTTCATCATTTGTAAAATGGGAATGATAAAAGTACCTATTTCATAGGGCTGTTGTGAAGATCAAGTGAGAAAATGTGCATAAAGCACTAGGAACAAGACTTGCACATCACTATGTACATTCATTACATTTCATCATTACTAATTTTACTATATAATGGGCACATGCATCTCTGCCAACTGGCATCAAAGAGACAGCTCTACTTCTTGTCTAAGCTCGTTTCTCCTCTACACAAACCACTGATGGCCTCCTCCTCTTTTCTTCCCCAGAGGACCTCTTTCCATTTGGTCCTTATGTCCATCTCTGGCCACTGACTCCTTTTGTCAATGGGCAAGTTGCCCAGTTTCTATATCCATTAAATATAATCTCACACTTGCCTTGAGCTACCATTTTTATTTTCCCATTTCCTGTACTTCTACATTTCTTGAAAGAATAATCCATGCTCTCTTCTTCCTCATCTCCAGCTTCTTCCTCAAATCACTGCAATCTATACCTCTCCGTGGAAATATTTTTCTGTCCTTAAAATGTAAAGTATAAAAGGGTTGTGGACTTTCCCTTGTTGTTTACTTGTAAGTGTTTGTTATGAATATCTGTTTAATGAACAAATGATTGACTTTGTGTTATGGTTTAGATATGAGTTGCCCCCCAAAAACGCTTGTGTGTAAGACAATGCAAGGAAGTTCAGAGGTGATATGATTGGGTTATGAGAGCCTTAACCTAATCCCAGCATTAGTCCACTGATACGGATTAACTGGGCAGTAACTACAGCAGGTAAGGTGTAGTTGGAGGAAGTAGGTCACCGGGGGCATGCCTTTCGGTTTATATTTTGTTCCTAGTGAGCAAAGGTCTCTCTCTTCTTCCTTGTTGCCATGTCCTGAGCTGCCTGCCGTCCTCTGCCATGCCCTTTGCCATGATGTTCTGCCTCACCTCAGACACAGATATGGAGCTGACCATCTAGGGACTGAGACCTATGAAACCATGAGCCCCAGATACACTTCCTCTCCTGTGTTGTTCTTAACAGATCCTTTGGCCACAGTGATGAAAAAGCTGAGTAAAACACTCTGGAAGTCAACCCTGACAAACATTGAGCTTAATGGGCTCTTGTTTGTTCTCGTCTATAGCAATTCTTCCAACACTTGTGCCAACTGCTCTAAGTTTATTGTATATTATCTTTTTGAAGCTACACAAAAGCCAAATGCTAAAGCAGGTAGAGATAATCATCCTTGTTTTTACGGTTGGGAAATTGAAGTTAGTGTTTTTCAGGGAGTGGCTTAATGTGAACAAGCTTGAAGTAAGCGAAGGAGGAAGGATATAATCCTGAATTATTTGGTTTAAGCCTCATTTAATTTCTAGTTCATCCATGCGTTCATTTTGCAGCAGTAGAAGGATGTCCATTTAAAATGTAAGATAGAAAATGGAGGTGGCCATCATATCTATTATGTCATTTTTGCTTCATATATTAAATTTTAAAATTTAATTATCTCCACATATATTTAGTGCTTTGCATCAGTGCAGCACTCACCATTAATCCAGAGGCTTGGAAAGGTAATGGACTTTACTCACCATAAAGAAATAGCATAGGAACTGGAGAGAATTGTCAACTAAAAAGTTGTATCAATTTATTAAAACACAATTAGGGAATTTTCCATTGTCAAAATTAGAGAATTTTCCAATACACTGTTCTAGAGTGTATTCCTTGAATCTGAGGTATTAAAAACCTTGTGGTCATATAAGCAGATAATGAACAGTTAGCCAACAATAACAGCATCGGGAACTTAACACCCACAGAGTGAGAATTACCTGTGCCCTGGAAGTTTCAAAGGAAGCATCTTTGTGTAATGGGAAGCTGAACAGAAGAGATGGGACAGGGAAGTTCAGAGGGAAAAGAGATGGAAAAGGTGACTTTGGGTGGAAGGGAAAGTGGAGCAGGAATACACAAGTCATTCAAGAATACTCTGTCAATCAGCATAGAAGAAGTAAAAACTTTATGTGGAGGTTGGTGAAGAAATAAAGTTAGAAACATTGGTTGACAATGTTTAGTGAATTATTTTGAAGGCCAGTCTAAATTAGAGTTAGGATATATGTAAAATTGAAGATTTCTGAGCCAAGGAAGAACCCAGTGAGTCTAGAATTTAGGGGAGATTCATCTAGCAGTGGATTAGCCTCTGGCAGAAAGTCTGAAGCTCAGGAAATATGTTAGTAGACAGTTGCAATAGCTAAAAGGAGATTTGAGTGGTGTAAGAGAGGGAGAAATGGAAGAGAAGAGCAGACACAAGAAGGGAACAGGAAGAGAATTTGATAAATTAGTGGCAATGTGGACAGGAGAGAGGGATATATCAAAGTGGATAAATAAGTCCAAAATATTAACATAAATAAACCCGAAATATGGCCAGTAACACACATAGAGAGATATATACCCAGTGCAGCTTCTTTGAGAATATAATGTCACTGGTCACTGTCATTTTTCTTGACCAAGTTTTACATTGCAACATGCCTATTTGGTTTCTTTATATACCTACCTCTCGAAAAGCCTCACTTTTCATGTTTTGAAGCCTGAAACACCCCAGGGGCTGCATTGATTGCATTTCTACTGCAGTCCGTTCACTTTTCTTCTTTTTCTGAAGAGCAATGTACAATTGATATAAAAGCTTTGTTGCTGCCCCAGGCTTTTCTGTGATGATGCTGTGGGCCACATTCTGATCAAATTGAACACCCAGAAGGTGAAGCGTTGGCTCCAAGCGGGAAAAATTATTAAGCCTGGCAGTTGAAATTCTGGAAGTTAAAAATATTTTACATAATTAGATACCAGCACTGAGTTAAAAACAAATACTAGACATATGGTCATGATACAGTATTATGCATTATCACATATTCTTTTAAATGTATCATTTCTCTATAGAATCCCTGAATAACTAAAATACACTGTTTTTTTTACTAGCCATATATACCTGAAATTCCATTCATTTATTTCCCCTGAGTTTCTAAAATTCCTAGATTTTACAAATTTTTAATTTAAATTTACAATATAATTTTTTTATAGAAAATCAATACAGAAACAGACAACCAAATGATTTCTTCTACATAGAAAAATTTAACTAGAATTTTAAAAATTATTTTTAACTTAGAAGAAAAAAATTACAATCTAAATATCTAATTCTTTAAATTATATTTTTGTTAAGAGTCTAAAAATAGTCCTGTTTCAATACCAATTCAAACAATGATCCTCCTAGGCAATATCAATAATATTTAAGTAATATTAGCTAGGCAATCTAATTAATTATGTATTTCTACTATACAACTTATATTACTACTTTATAAATTGAAAAGACTTTCTGACTAGAAGCTACATTTACTTTTGAATGACTTATTATCACATTAGCCTCACATTTTAGAAGAAATCCGTTAAACTTTTATTTAGTAATCTACTCTTAATTAACAACCTTTTAAAAAAAGTATCCATTACGTGCCAGGGATTGGTTTGCTTATTAAATTTAACAAAACTTTAAATATTTGTTGAAGTGTTATACAGATAAATAGGATGTAGTCACTGGCCTTCAGAAGTTCACAGTAAAAAAAAAAAACAACAACAACAACAAAAAAAAACAGATAAACCAACAAGTAGAAATTAACTGAGGTAAGTATTTTAAAAGAGGTCTCAAGTGAGCTAGGTTAACGAGCTTTTAAGCTGATGGCAGTCAGAGGGTAAGATACATCGCATGCATTTTCAACTCTTGTGCCTCTTAAGGGTTTGTTGGAGGTTCTGGCAGGAAACTGTCCCCCACAGGTTGTCTTCTCCCAGTCTGTGGCTCCAGGAGGGATACACATGCAGTGGTGAGGCAGGAAGGCCACACCCACCTGGTCAGCCAGATCAGCCAATCCACTCTGAAGATCAGTGGGGTGGCAGATGTCCAGATGTTTCTCTTTATGATCAAATTGGATACAAACAATCAATTTTAGCCACTGGCCTGATTTCTGATAATATTTGGGTGACAATTTTTAATGGAAAAAAATATACCAAGTCTACTTGAATGTAAGTCAAACAACCTATTTCCCACGAAAAATGGTAGCTCGGAACAGAAAGTGTTGCTATATATTTGAATGAGTATTAAAAAAAAAAAAAAAACCTTCCTAGGAGTCCAAGGTGCCTCACCCATTATGTAATTTAGAAAGGTAGGGACTGAGTCATCTGTCAGAGTTTTGTTCTGGGTCATAAATGTGGGCTGCAAAGGTTGGGGCACCATAGTTCAGTAGGGAAAATACATAAGTAAACATTACCCAGTTCCAAAGTTTGGCAAAGCTTAGCCCTTCATCCAAAAAAAGAACACCCTCTGCTTTCCCTCAGTTGTATTATGTGGCTCCCAGAATGCAGTATAAACCTGGAAATAGGTTTTAAAATAGCTTTTATGAACTGGCAAGGTATCCAAGCATTACAATATTTCTCCATGGAAGCTTTTATGAATATTCCAAATTTCCATCCAATCTAAATTTGGGGAACATAACTTCTGTGTACTTTAGTGGTAGTCCATGTTTGTTCAAATGTGTGATTTACATAACAGGATAAAGAGTGTTCTTGAGTGCAGGGAAACCCCTGGGACATTTTTGCTCTGGAGACAGAGCGTATGATGTAAAGGATGGCCTCTGAGGGAATAAGGAATTAGTCTGGGAAAGTCTTGCTTTCTACTTGCAGTCCTTATTCGTCAAGGGACTACCGCTCCTCTCCTTCCTGCCAAGTGGTGAGAGACATGACCTTTTTGCAAGATAAGTAGAAGCTGTCCTCCCCAAAAGATTCTTTGTTATTTCTTTCTTTTTCTTTTAACTAATTTGCTCATTATCTGCCCTTTTGGAACATTTTTTTGCAAGAAAAAATATTCTAAAGCAACAAAACTTTTAGAGTCAGATGAGTTATTCTTAGTTATTTCTCAGACAAATAGTTGCAAGTTATTAGTTGCATATAGCTTAGGGTTTTCATTTTAGATGAAGGAAATTAAAAATATTAGACATGATGCTCATGTCATAGGCCCTAGCACTAGAGTTGCCTTAAAAATAGACTTTCAGGAAAAAGATCCTATTCCACACCTGTTACACTATTATGAAAGTCATGTCATGGATTTACTCATCCTTGCCTTATTGAAAAGACCATGAACCCTGGAAAAAAGTGAGTTGCTCCAAGAACTGAAAATGGATGATATTTGTTTGTTAACATATGTAAGTACTGCTTCACAGATTAAAGAAAGAAGTGATTTTTGGTGGAAGTGGAAGTCCTTCAAGAACAAGCAGGGCTGCTGCATTTGAAGTTAGTTACACAGGACACCTATCCAAACATGGGGCAAGAGCATGAGATCCGTTCCATTCTCAACTTGCCAAGCCTTGTCCCTAGTGTACGACTGCTCTACACAAAAAGGAGATCTGTGTCCTTTGTACAAAGATTTCCCTGTTCACCAAGACCTGCATCTTTACAAATTGTGTCAATCCTGACAGGAATCCTGTTTCTTATTTCTTATTCCGTACAAAACCTCTTTGTGACCCTGCCAACAAGAACCAATTTAGAACAGTATGTATAGGGCACTGGTTCCAGGACTCCTAGTCAATGTCAAAATCCTTAGTTGCCTATAAAATAGCACAGCATTTGCATATGATCCTGACACATTCTCTCCTGTAATTTAAAATCATCTCTAGATTACTTGCAATACCCAGTACAGCACATTCTATGTAAACAGTTGTTATACTGTAACAAAGAATAATGACAAGGGGATAAAAGGGACTGTGCATGTTCAGAACCAGTGTGATTTTCTTTCTTTCATTTTTTAAAAAATATCTTCAACCCACAATTGGTTTAATTCACAGATGCAGAATGTGGGTATGGAGGGTCCACTGGTGTCTCTAAAATACTGCACAAGTGAACTGGCTGCTCAGTATGGTCCTTTAACTTCTCTCAACAAGCATACTTTTTATATAAATTATTTATTCACTAGGTAAAAAGAATTGTGGATCATCTATGAGCCAGTGACAATGCTTGAAGTACACAAAAATAAACACAATCTGCAACTTCAGTATCTTTATAATCCAGCTGAAGAGCAAACCTTCCTTCAGCTATTTGTCAAATGTTTGTGGGGCCATTTTTTTTGTGGCAGTCACTCAAAAAGAACTTAGATATATAAATATTCATGATGTAATGTGACAAGGAGAGAAATGTCCAAATTGTTTAAGAGCAAAGAAAAATAGGAAAACAGATCTGCTGGGGTGGACAAAGAAGGTGTGAATTTTTAGTTGATCCTAAGGATGAATAAGAGTTTCTCATAGTGGGAGTGCAAGGAAAACAAAGGTAAAAGGCAGAACAAACATGACACATGTATAGACCAGAGGAGCAGCAAACATAGGATAAGAAGGTGCATAGGGCTGAGAGGTCAGGCGGAGGAGGCAGCTGGGGCTAATTGTGAGGAACTTAAAAGCCTTTCTCTTGAAGGAGAGATGTGTGATGTGAGATGAAGGTACAGATTAGAACGTTACCTAGTACCCTGAAACCTAAGATATCAACTAGGATACTCAGAGAGAGGTTTGTTTGGCATGAAAGTATATTTGCACTTTATTGCTTCTCCTGTATCATAAAATCCTTACCAGAGCAACTAAGCTTGCGTTATCTGGACGTGTAAAAGAATAACTCACCTCCAGAGGGAAAGTATTAGAGATTCTTTTTCCCAGAAATATCACAATGTAGACATGGTTCCTTGGAGACCTACCATGAAGGTAAATACAACTAAGGAATACTTGAATGGAAAGTGTCAGGAGGAGGTCCAGTCCCTCACATCCCTTGAGGTATTGTGCAAGAAGGAAGTAAAGGCTAATGCAGATCTGTGAACTGCCAAAGCACCGAAAGCCTGCCTCAACACAGTCACAGTCTCTCAGCAAAGAACCATGATTGGCTCAAGATGTTTAAAGACATCCCTGTTCATTAGGTGACTGACAAGATAATCAAGCAGTGAATTCAGTCACTGTATAAAACAAGGAATACTGACTTTATAGGTCTTTAGGCAAACCAAAAGCAGCAGCAGCAATAACAGCCAAACCCAAGGAGGTATAATCATCTAAGTTGCCACATTACATTATTTTAAATGTCCAGTTTTCAAGAACTGAGGCACACAAAGAAACAAGAAGGTAGGCCATACATGAACAAAGGGAATCAGTAGAAACTTCCTGAGGAAGCCCAGGACAAAGACCTTCAGTAGACTATTATAAATATGTTCAAACCCCAGAGGAAACCTTTTTTTTTAAAAAAAAAGTCAAAAGCATGAGAAGAATGTCTCAACAAAAGAGAATATCAATAAAACATAGAAATTGTAAAAATAAGAATCAAGTGAAATTCTGAAATTTAATAATACTATATTCACGAGAAGAGTTGAACAGCAGATTTGACTGGATAGGAGAAAGAATCAGAAAACTAATAGTTCAACTGAAATTATTTGGGGGAAGAACAATAAGAGAAAAGAATGAAGAAAATTGAGCAGAACTTCAAAACACATAAATTCACTCTATCATGAGAAAAACATCAGACAAATTCCAGGTAGGGGACAAGCTACAAAATCTTGACTAGTGTACTTCAAAATTGTTAAGATCATCAAATCCAAAGAAAATCTGAAAAAGTATACACAACCAAGCAAAGCCAAAGAGACAGACATGTCTATTAACATAATTTGGTAAACTAGATGGAATAATGGAACAAAAATACTTTAGGTAAAATTGAAGAAACTTTCAGTATTATACAGACTTTATTTGATAGAAATGTATCTATATGGTTGTATTGACTGTAATGAATGCACTATACCAAACTAAAATGCTAATAGTGTAAGCTAGATATAAATGATCTGAGAATTCTCTCACAATTTTTCTATAAATCTAAAACCACTCCAACACAAAAAGTTTTACAAATGAACAAAGCCTCAAAGACCTATGGGATATTATCAAACACTACCATACATATTATGGGAATCCCAAAAGGCAACAGAAGAGATAAAAAAGCAGAAAGAATATTTTGAGAAATTAGGGCCAAAAATCTTTACACATTTGATGAAAAACATGTATCTGCACATTCAAGAAACTCAATGAACTCCAAGCAGGTTAGTCTCAAATAGATCTATGCTTACACAATAATCAAGCAGCAAGAGAAAAACAAGTCACCACATACAAGGGATTCTAAATAAAATGAACCGCTGACTTCTTGTCATACACTTGGGAGGCAAGAAGACATGAGGGGCATGCCATGTTCAAAGTGCTAAAAAGGAAAGACTGCTAACCAAGAATTCTACATTCAGCAAAACTATACATTAAAATTAAAGGATAAATGAAAACTGAGAGAATGTGTTGTCAGCATACCTGCCATACAAGAAATACTAAGGGAACTCTTAAAACTAAATGAAAGAACAATAAACAGTAACTTGAATCCTATGAGAAATAAAGAACACCAGCAGAGGTTATTACACAGAGAAATAAAAGATAGTTTATATGTGTTTTTGTTTATAACTGTTTTCTTCTATTTAATTTGAAAGATAATTAATTACATAAGACAAGAATTATGAAACTGAGTTGTTGGTCTTTGATGTAATTTGTATGCCAATAAGAGCACAAAGAAATGGAGGGATAACTAGGCTACATTGAACCAAAGTTTTTGTATACTATTAAAATTAAATTAATGTTTATATGAACTAACTTGATTTAAATTCAAATATTAATTGTAATGCTATGTCAACCACTAAAAGCTCTCAAAAATAATGAAATAAATAATCAAATTAAGGTTGTGTTAGAAAATATTTATTCAACATAAGAGAAGGCAGTAATGGAGTAGCCAAAATGATAATACATACAAAAACAAATAGCAAAATGGCAAACTTAAATTCTACTTCTTCCATAACTACATTAAAAAAGATGATTAAATAGCTATAATTACAAAGTAGGTATCAGAATAATGGATATGTGATTCAATTATGTGCTATTTATAAGAAAATGTACTTTAGATCAAAAGACACAAATTTATTGAAAGTTAAAGGTTGGAAAAACATGTCATGCAAAAGTAACTAAAAGAAACCTGAAGCATTCTTCTAAATAAAAATGGATGAAAGGCAGTAGAATACAACAGACACTAGTATGGCAGTATGTAAAAATGTGGATGTATAACTGATGTGATTCTGCAATCTGTATACGGGGTAAAAATGGGAGTTCATAACCCACTTGAATCAAATGTATCAAATATGATTTGTCAAGAGCTATGTAATGTTTTGAACAACTAATAATAAAAAAATGGATGGGAAGAAATAACAGGGAAAATTAGAATATTCTTTGAGACAAATAAAGATATGAAATAGTCTTTCAAAATTATGGGTTGCAGTTAATGCAGTGATTAAAGAGCCACAAATGCACATATTAAAAAGGAAGATCTCAAAAAAGCTAAATATCCATATCAAGAAACTAGAAAAAGAGAAAATAAACCCAAATGAAGCAGATACGCATAAATATTGATGATCATAGCTGAGTAAATTTAATAGCAAGTAGAAAAATATATAGTTGGCGCTTAATAAAATTTGCAAATCAAGAAAAAAGAGAAGACTCAAATTACTAAAATCATAAAAGAAAAACATTGTCCAGATCTTACAGAAATGAAAAGAACTTAATTTATAAAGAGATACAAAAACCACAAGTGACCAAAAAAAAAGGTTAGTTGGAATTCATCAAAATGACTGTGCCTCAAGAATACCATTAAGAAAGTAAACATTTAATCTGATTTGTGGAAAAATATTTACAGCTTTTTTATTTGACAAAGAACTTTATATGTAAATAATATTTATAATTCAACTAAAACACTGACAGCAAAATACAACCTAATTTAAAAATCTGTGAAAGATCTCATCAAATATTACATCAATGAGTCTATGAAAATAACTAATATACAAATGAAAAACTGTTCAACATCATTTGTCATTAGAGAAATGCAAATCAAAATCATAACGAGATGCCACTTCACCCCCACCCAGAGGGTTGTAATGAAAAATATAGAAATTAGCAAGCCTTGATGAGGATGTGGAGAAACTGATACCCTCATATACTGCTAGTAGGAATTTAAATGGTATAGGTGCTTTAAAAAGCTGTTTAGGTGTTCCTCAAAGTGTAAACATAGACTATATAGTGCAACAATTCTTCTCCTTGGCATATGCCCAAGAGGAATGAAAACATTCCTGCAAAAATTCAGTGTTCAAAATCAAAAAGTGGAAACTCAAATATCCATTCATGGACAGATGGGTAAGCAAAATGTGGCATGGCACATCCAGTTAAGTGAAATTAATCAACAAGTAAATAGAAATGAAGAAGACAATATGAATGAACCTTGAAAACATTATTATAAGTGGAAGAAGTCACACAAAATGTCATATTTCATTATATGAAATAGGCAAATACGTAGAGACAGAGATAGATTAGTGGGCATCAGGGGCTCAGTGGTCAGTGATAATGGTTGCAAATATTCTAAGTATGTGAATATACTAAAATCCATTAATTAATTGTAAACTTCAAAATGGTGAATTGTGGTATAAGAAATATATTTCAATAAAGCTGCTAAAACAAAAATATGGATTTTTATTAAGAGTTAAGTTATGCTTTATATTTTTAAAACAAAGAATAATACTAATTGACCACCCAGGACACCATATGCTGCTCCTTTTCTTCTCTTAAAATGAGAAAGAATCAATTAACAAAAGAAAAGTAATTGAGCTTAAGACTCAGAAAAATGGAAGACATAAAAATACGTGCTATGGGACATGAGGTCTTGCTGCACCTTTGAACTTTCCCTTATACTGACAGGACAGAAAGAAGGCACATGTGAGGTAGCAACCATTCCCATGCTAATCATCTGCTTGGCTGGTTTAGGTTTGGAAGAAATTTTATGATTGATTCTTTAAAATTTATTTTGAATATTCCAAATGCCAAAGGAATTGACTTTTTTAAGTAAAAAATTATCTTACTGACCTGCTTTCTGAAAACTCTGAAAAATCATCCTGAAGTTCAAACTTGTGTAGAACTTCTCCAATTAGGTAGCCACTGGAAAATGCCTTTGCAAATGCCTTGGGACCTGAATTTTAAATCATTGACATAGAAAAGTAAAAATCAAGTCACACTATAATTTAAACGTAGAGTTAAAAACCTCATAATTTAATTTGAACTTAAAATGCCACAACTATATTTCTAGAAACAACTTTTAATAGTCAAAGTAAAAGTGTAACAGTAGACATTAAAATGCCCAAGTATAAATCAATAATTGATGATCTACAAGCTTTTGAGAGAACAGAAAGAACATTTTTGATTAAAATTAAACAAAGCATAACCCCCCAAATTATAAGTAACCTTAGATCTAAGTATAAACCTTGAATATATTTTATAAAAGCACTCTATTTTAGTTATTCATATAACCTATGATGATAGTATATTCTGGCTAATTGAAGTGCAATTCATCTTTTAAAAATAACAATTTGTTTTTAACCTTAAAACAATGGAAAGTTTACTGAAATAATATGCACCTTTTTATAGAAACCCTATTAAACATAATCAAGCTTTTGCTTTGTGGTTCAGAAGGGTCACAGAGGTCCAGTTCTTGTCCTATTCAACAATGGCACTATACCAGAGGAAAAATATCTTTGGAGCCAGAAACATCTCTATTGGAATCTTGGCTCTCTTGCCCCTTACTTGCTATGCGATCTTGGGCAAGCAGTTTAACCTTCCTGTGTTTCTGTCTCTTTGTCTCTAGAACAGAGATAACTATATCTGTGTCTTATCTTGGAGAGTTATTTGAATTATTAATTAAGTTTATTTTTAACTAATAGGTATAAACAAAAATTGTACTTCTTATTGATGGGGTAACTTGTGATGTTCTGATACGTGAATATACTCTACACTGTATAATATTTAAATCGGGTTATACATAGCTATGTCCTCAGATCATTTCTTTATGGTAAAAACTTTCAAAATCCTCTTTTTTTAAGCTTTTTGAAACGCACAGTCCATTACTGTTATCTGTAGTTCTCCTTCTGTGCCACAGCACACCAGAACTTGTTGGCCTATCTAATGCAGCTTAGTGCTCACTGCGCAATTTCCCCACCTCTCTCTGCTCCCCGCCCTCCCCAGACTCTGGTTGCTGCCATTCTATTCTTAATTTCTTCGGGATCAACTTTCTTAGATTCCACATATGAGTGAGAGCAGAATTACTTGTCTTTCTGTGCCTGGCTTATTTCACATAACAAAATTATTTCCACTTCTACTAACGTTGTCTTGAATGATAGGATTTCATCTTTTTTGTTCATCCTAGTAGTATTTTATCATGGACAATGGACAGCTTTTTTTTTTTTCCTTTCCTTCTTTCCTTTCTTTGTTTCTTTCTTTCTCTTTATTTTTCTGGGGATTTAACTCAGGGGTGCTTTACCACTGATCTGTAGCAAACCCCTATGATGATGATGATGATGATGATGATTTTGAAGCAGGGTCTTGCTAAGTTGCTTAGAGTCTCTCTAAGTTACAGAACTTGTGATTCTCCTGTGTCAGCTTCCCCAGTTACTGGGATTATAGCCATTGCCACCACACCCTGCATGGAGAGCCATTTTGAAGATTGCAGATAATATATGAGAATTGTTGAGTATAATACCTATCACATAGTAGGCATATAATAAGTTCAGGAGAAATTTAAGTATTTAATAGAATTTTCTTTCTTTAACAATGTCCTTAGTTTTAGGTCACTTGTATATTTTATGAAGTGAAGGATAGTTATGATATTTAAGGGCAATACACAAAATTGATAGACAAAATAAATAATATTTTTATAAGCCAAATAATTTCTTGCATGATTTTTATATCCTCCACAAATCTTCAACATGTTGCCATCATTTAGAGAGCAGCAGTGAATCCCACAGCACCACACACATACACACACAAAAACAACAACAAAAACCCCACCATTGTCTGTCTCTGTACTCTCACAGACTCAGTTGTATAGGTCCTTCTATTTTGTCTATTGGACTAATAACAAGTAGGCTTATTGAATATGCAGAATAATAGTGTATCCTGATTTGCAGGAGGTAAGGTGAGTTACCCGGTGAAGGCCCCTGCCCAGACACCTCACTCAGATGACTCCATGTCATCAGCAGTAGAAGACTATATTCAAGACTTTATTAGTATTTGTTCTCAAAGTACTTTAAAGTTTGAATAATGTTCCAATCCTTAAGTTGAATCAATACAATATTAAAGTAGTTTTAAGAGATGCAAATTATTTCCTTTGATTCTATTTCCTCAAGGTAAGCTTCTGAACTAAACAGCATTCAAATCTATTGATCATGGTTATGTAATTTTCAATTTATAACAGAAAATAAAGGGTAGTAAACTGTCAAAAACTGATTTGGTGTATAAATCTCTTTAACAAGAAAATAAATAAAAAATTTATAAGCTCCAGGAAAATAAACTATTCAAGTCACCTAAACTTACACTCGATATCTAGTTCATAGGAGGAGTCTCAGGTCAGAAAATGATCTTCCTCTAAAAACAGGGTGCATTCTTTTACAGTTGATGGTCTGGTGCTCTTTTTTTATCAGTCATATGAGTCTTTGCAAAACAGTGTCTTTATCTGAGTTTCCAGTGTTACTCAGGAGAAAATACACTTAGAGAACAGGTACCTTCTAAAAAGAATTTGAAATTCATGGCAAATACTAGCTCTGGTGTGCAGGTTGGATACCCTTAAAGTTGTATTTCTGTTGGTTGCTCCCTTCTTCCAGTCTCCTCTGCCTCTCTGCCCACTAGCCCATCCATACTCTCTTAGTTTTCTGAAGTGTGATTGGCAAAATGCTGTCATTAAACCATGGATATATCTTTCTTTCTGGTTCTAGGCCATCAGGCTTTGGTCTAGTTTTTGGCTTATTGCTTTCTTTTTAGGAGCTGTTGCTACTTCATCTTCAGGTAGTCTCCTTTCCACATCTCTCTGGGGCTTGCACTGTGCCTGATGCTCATGTTGATTGAACACTGGAAGTCTAGCCCATGAATAACCAGGGGATAGCCAAATCCTATTCTGTCACCCTCGATGTAGCAGACAAATGGTCTGTAGTAAGCTATTTGCTACAAAAAGGTCACTTGAAAAATAAAATCATAATCCATTTCCTTTGAAACGGCATAGCATATTAATAAGGCAATTCTGATATGGATAAAATAGAGGTGCTGGTATTAAGATAAAAAATGGACAGTAAGCACATTTTCTTGTCTGGGTAGGTTTACGACAAATAAACAAATATAAAAAAAAATCCATCTGTAGTTTTTTACACATAAGACACTTCAGATTTATTGTGTGCTACATTAGCAAAACTGAGTACAATAAGAGAAGAATATAGCAAATGATGACATATGGTAAAAAATGAAAAGAAGAAACAAGAAAGAATGCATGCAAGACATTTGATAAGAAAAAGATGAATAAAAAGCATACAAGCTAAGAATCTACAGATTAATATAAGAGAATGGAAAGAGATAAGAAGCCAAATAAAGAGGGAGAGAATAAGGAAGTTGTTGGGGAGAGCGAAACCATAAGAAAAAAATGAAAGCTCATTTTCCTCCTTTGATATATCATGTTTTTCTTCCAACTAAAGTTCACAGAATAACACAACTAATTTCATGGGAGCTACTTCCATAAATTAATTTGTACGAATAAGTGGAATTTCCTATGGGTCAGAAGTGGCAGGTTGACTCATGGATAATGAACAATGACTATATATAAGAAATAAATAAACCATAGACGCCCACTGACAATCTTCATCCTGAGCCCAAAATGATTTTTCATTTTGGGATTAAAGTCATTTAGCAATAATTCAACCTTGTTTCTGGTCTTCCAAGCTATGTGGTCCCTATCACTTAAGTTTGTTTTTGCTAAAATCTTTGATGTGTGCCTCTCTGTCAGGTCTACATTAGGCTGGAGCAGCAGGTGAAATGGTCCATGTGCTTCTCCATTAACATGGTACCAAGCCATCTCAAGAAAAGCACTTACAGTCATCCATGTTCCACATGGTAATGAGGAACAGGTAGGCTCCAGAGAAAAGAATCTGTTTGTCTCCTTGCTAACTTATAAGCCACTTGATCTTGATTATATAACCATCCTTCCTCATTTGTAAAAGAGGGACAGTGATGGGCTTCACCTCATGAGTTGTTTTGAGAAGTAAATGAGAGATTGTGTATAAGTTGCTCAGCACAATGCCAGGTCCATATTTAAGTGCTCGGTGACAATTTTTATTGTTATTATTACCATCTTCTAATTCATGAAAGCAGGTCATATTAATTGTACAATTTGTAAAGTCAATAACAGACCATCAATGACTACAGTACAAACATACTTGTTTAAACAGTATTCCAATATTCAGGAATATTTGACATTGTCTTCAGATGCAGGCCCGCTCTTATGGCAAGGAAGGATATAACACCCTCTTCCACTCTGGGCAAGCACCTGTAATCAGTTGATTTCTACAACAAAATATTTAAATTCACATTCAGTGGGATAAGTAAAGACTAACCAACCTCACAGTTTTTTCTGCTAAGGTCTACTCTATTAATTTCTAGTGAACAGAAGCCAAGTTTTAATTTTCTTTTTTAAAAAAATGCTGCTAAATTAGCTAGGAAATATCAAAGTCTGTTGCTTTTGATCAGAAGCAATATATTTTCTAATGACCCTAAGAGCTTAAGGAAAAGAAAATGTGTGGTTCAATGACACTTGGCTAGAAGAGGAATGGACCAAAAGGCAGGAAACCTAGCTTCCCAGCTGCACAGCCTTAAACAAAGTTCTCAATATCTCTCTTCCATTTTTACACCTGACAAAGAAGAATTAATGATGTCTGTCTCAGTCTATTGTCTGTTGCTGGAACAAAACACACAGACTGGATAATTTACTAAAAATATTTTTTCTTCATAGTTCTAGAGACTAAAAAGTTTAAGGTATCTAGAGACTAAAGAGTGTCAAGGTATTGACATCTGCCAAGGGCCTTCTTGGTCTACAACGACATGACAGAAGGCGGAAGAGCAAGTGAGTGCTTGATACAGAGGGGAAGGGGGACAAACTGATCCATGTATCAGGAGCTACTCTAGCAATAATTAGCCCACTCCTGTCCTGATGGCCTTAACTCTTCACAAGGGCTGAGCCCTCCGGATTTCAACACCTCACTAAGATCAGTGGAATAGAGGAAGGGAATTGAGTGGACTGGAGGAAGGATGGGAAAAGGGAAGACAGGTAGAGCAAATCTGACCTACCATTCCTATGTACATATGTGAATATACCACAGTGAATCTCACCTTTGGGTGGTACTAAATTTAAAAAAAATCATAAGTAAGTAGAAAGATCAGTATGGAAGGGAACATGGAATGGAAGAGGGGAGAGAAAGGAGAAGTACTGGGGTTTAAGTTAGAGCAAATTATATTCCATGATTTTATAATCATGTCAAAATGAATCCTAATATTATATATAACTAAAAGGAACCAATAAAATTTTTTTAAAAAAAATAAAAGGAATGCACATTTCATGAATCATAAAAAAATATGTCTAGGTCAGAAAAAGTGTGAAATAAATAAAATATTAGCTTGATTTTGGAGTCATTTTGATAATCTGTAATTTGTGATTGTAAATAAGCAATCTGATTTATAAATTCAATCTTCTCCTGAGTGCCCCAGGGCACCAAGTTCATGTATCATGTTCATATCATTTGCCAGAATAAGTTATACTGCTGTTCTTCTTTCCATTAGAAATTGGTGACGTGACTAGAAAATAATGCTTAGATGTATATGTTAATGAAATACCTTAGAATACAAAAATGTCACTCAATGCAAAAAATACATCTGGAATTCAATAATTAATTTTATAGTAAAATTAGCATAAGGAATATTACTGAAAGAAATATGAAAAATGTAATTTTACTTAGAAATTCCTTAGAATTCATTTAGAAATTTGCTTAAAGTAACAAAATGGAACTTCTGAAATCACAAAGTTCAACATTAAAGAATCCAAGGTGACATCAAGATGAAGAAATCTAAAATAATATGGTACTTTTTCCTCTTATGTACTCTCATTTAATAAACAATTATTAAGTGTCCATTATGTAACAAGTGCTATATGAGGCACTATATATATTGCCTGTAAAAAGTTGAAATAATGTTTATTGAACATCTATCAGATACTAAGAAGTCTGGTATATGTTTTCCATTTACAGTTTCATTTGAGACCCTCTCAAATATACAATAGTTATTATTTTTCACTGAGTGTAAAATGTGAGACCGAAAGATTATTAATTCTTACTTTGGATACTATAATAGCAAGACTTAGCAATACTTAATTTTTTTGAACCCAATTTTCTCTTTATTGCTCCTTCGATACTATTGATAATATGTCTAAAATGACAGAATCATTTAAAATATGCGTGAAAAAAGTATTTACAATTTAAAATATATCCATATCCAGAATCCAAGATAATATAGACTGTTTTGTATAACCATCCTTACAAAGGCTCTGACTTCTATAGTACATGGAATTTGAAGGTATCTATTTATGGTTCGAGAATGTTCAGTTATGATATTCTCATGCTCGTTTTCTCTTATGGTGAGTTCACAGGAATTGTTTTAAAAAGGCAGTGTTTATTCTTGAACATAAGTGACCATTCTTAAAGAATTGTTCAGCAAATCTTTCAGTAACATTTCACTTGCTTATTTTTCATTATAAATTGAATTTTTGAATTCCAGGTGTAATTTTGTACTGATCAACTTTTTGTTTTCCAAAATATTTCATTAATGTATACATCTAAGCATTGTTTTCTAGGAAAATGGTCTGTTTAAATCTAACTCACTGAAGATTATTAGCTTTGGTTACATAGATTGGAATCTACAGGTGACCTAAGGTTGAGCATGCATCACAACCCACTGGTAGCAAATTGACAGTGATGCAAGAGTTCGTCTGGGAAAACAGAATGAAGGTGATTGCACTGAAAACCTTCTTTCCAAGAAAAAAAAAATACCACCTTAAAATGAATTCCCACTAAATAAACAACAAAGAGGAAGAGACGTGTAATACTGCAATGGAATTATTTGATTGTTACTGGTTTGGGGGTGTGTAAATTGCCTCTGAGGTTAGGAGTTTGTTTGAGGTTAGGAGTTTGTTTTTTGGTAACTTCATGTTTACAATAAAATCAGGCTGGTAAATTAGGGAAGAGCAAATAGTAGCCAGAAATAGCTAAGTATGTAAATTTTCAGCTTAAAATTTCCAAAAGTGATAAATGTTAACTATTCCACATTAACCCATTGCACATACACTTTCCCCTGATGAGAGGTTAAACGTGCAAAATCCAATTGGATCCATTTATACATAGAGAAAACACACTCAGAGAAGGCAATTTAATTAATCCACAGAATTTCCTATTCCATTGGCCTGTCAGCACACCATGCTTCTGATGTTGTGAAGGAGGCAATGTCAGGGTTAGACTGCTGAGACCAGCATAGGAGCCTTCCCTAAACTACCTTTGATTGCTTAGAAACACACAGTAGGTCAGAAACTGTGGTGCTGGGCCCACAGTGCTGATAGGAAACTCAGGAGTAGCAGAGTGGGGTATGTAAAAAGGCCAGCTGGGGTGAACTGTGGGGCAGCTGGGGACAGAGTTGGGACAGTGCGGAGGGGGCGGAGCGCTGCGAGAGTGCAGGTGCCCACCTGCGCAGCTGGAGCTCCGCCCGCCACCTTCCACCAGCTAGTTTCGCTCGGCGCCCGCTCGCCCTCGCCCATGGGCACTCACTCACGGTCCGGGACAACTTCAAATCTTGGTTGAGCCACTGACAGAGGATCTCAGACATGGCTCGCCCGCGCTTTGGACCTCAAGCAGGTGCTAGAAACTCTCCAGGAACCAGACTCTCTGGCTCGCGTCTTTCTGTTGCTCAGGGCAACCTGTTGCTAAGGAAGCGTCTCCAGGGTAGAGCCAGGTGACAAGTTCATGAAGAGGGGGCGCAGAGCACAGCAGCAGGAGACAGAAATCGTGGCCCGCCCCCTGCTGGCGGGTAAGACCTGAGCGTGCACACGAAATAGCAGGAGGCTGCTAAGGGTCAGCTAGCAATTATAAAACGAAATAAAAGGTTTCTTTTTAAAAGTGTTACCTGTCATTTGAATTATGTATCTTTCTCTTCTGTAAAAAAAAAAATCAAGTGTGGACTGCAAAGAGTTATTCTGAGATCACAAGCTGGATTGCAGAGTGGTGCTGTGTACTGAAATACAATTTGTTGGGGAAAAAGCAAAAACAAAAACCTTATGCTTTAAAAAATTATTGGAGACTTTTTTCATAATTGGAATTTTTGCACTATCAATTATGTCCAAGCTTGTAACTAGATATGACTGGGTCCTGACGTCTTTTTGAGCTGACTAGCTCTTTCATTTGGGGGGGGGGGAGAAATAAACAAACTACTTAACCTCTTGAACTTGTTTTCTTATCTGTAGAATAAGAAGGTTAATATTTGTTTCATAAAGTTGTGAGGATTAAATGAAAAATACACATATTAATGCCTGGCACATTGTAGAAGTCAGCATATGTTTCTTTCTTTTTCCTAAGGCTATGTGAATTTTTGCATTTTATTACTAGTTGGCTGAATTTTTAGTAGCTTAGAATTGATTATAGTATTTCAAAGCTTTTGAGGCAATTATTTCATATAGCTGATTTGATTTGATTTAAGAATAATGCAATATTTCTTCATAAATAGATATTCATAGGCATAGATTTTTTAAAACATTCTTAATTGGTCCTTCACCTGCCTTACATTCATCTCTTCATTTCTACTTCTCATCACTTTAGATCATTCTATTATCTCTCCTCAGCATGTTTTACAATGACGTTGCTCACTTGCCATTGATTGATGCAAAAAAATATTTGTCCTCATGACCACAATAATCATTAGTCTGGGTTTCCTTGCTTTTTCTTCTCTGGTCTATCCTGTGCAACACATACAATTGATATCCTTAAAACCCTATTCTATTCCTATACTCACTTTAGTGAATTGCACTAGAGCATTGTTTACTTTCATGCAGAAAATGGAATTCCTTTGGTGGGTCACTGAAGAATCCTTAAGTGAAATAGTACCAGATAAACTTGAATAAAAAGTATCAGAGGACATTGCATGTAATAAGGCTAAATATATGGAAGGAATAAATATTTGAGGGAAGGAAGAGCATCTTTGCTCTATTTGGGCGATTGTACATACTTGTGTGTATGTGTGTGTATATATATATATATATATATATATATATATATATATATATATATATATAAATATATATATATAAAATATATTATATATATATTATATATGCCTATATGGGGGAAATTATTTCTTATCATGAGTCATAGTCAATAAAATTCCAAAGCCACTGTCCTGGAGGATGAAGACCTTATTGAAAGTTATTTATGATCTATCCTCACTCCAATCCTAACCATACACCAATCTTGTTCATATTTCTTTCCCAGGTCCCAACTTTTCTACCTTAACACTGGTCTTCCATCCTCCTTCTGCAAAAAGAGAAGTTTCTTTCCTGAAGTCAATCCTGTCTGTTCTTCAGGGTCTGATTTATCAGCCACCACCTTCACTGAGCCTCCTCTTCCCCTCCTCCATTCTTCCAATCCCACCTGTCTTCTGAAAGCTCAAAATAAGTGCTTTCCCTTTAGCTCTCATTCCAGACCCCGAACTCTTTCTAATTGCCCACAGCTTGGCCAGAAACTCAGTTTTGCAATCTTCATAATGTATTTCTCAACTCTTTCAAATGAGTGCTGATTTGAGCTCCAAGAAGAGGAGATAACTTCAGCTCTTGATTTTATGGCAAACAATATTGTGAAATTTCAATTCCATTTCAAAATTCTTAGTCGTTTTTACCCTGAAGCAGATAGATTCTTTGGGGTCTTATTTTCAATGTCTGTGTGGTTTGTCTTATATATGGATTGCATCTTTTTCAGGTAAACATTTAAATTTCCAGTCTTAGAAAGTAATTGGGTTTAAAATAAAATCAAGTTAAAAGACAAATTCAAAATTTTATTTCATATGAGAAAAATTGAATCACATGTTCTACAATTGAAGAAGATAAGCCAAAATTTATCAGAATTCTTTTTCTAATTTCTTATTTCCCCATGCTGAATAGTCATAGGATCTAAATTTGTATTAAGTCTATTAAGTTTAAGCTAAATTTATATTTTATCTGTTAAATTTTGAGCCCTAAGTTTATGTCTGAGCCCTAAATTTATGTCCCTGCTCTAACAAAGAAATTAAGCATAACAGTGAATCCTCTCGGCTTTGATGACTACAATCAAATTATTTTTATACCAATGCCAAACTTGTGCAGATAGAGTGCCCATCTTATCTCTCTCACAGATTATACTTCTGAGAAAACTGAATCTCTGTTTGTGCCAAGTGTCACAATCAACTCCATTGTACTTTATCACTAAGAAACACTTTCCAGAGAATCAATGTTTGGATGAGTTAAGAAATCCTGAGAATCACTGTTCTCTGTATTTCACTCTTGATATTTCTTTATTATGATTTTGATATCCTATATGTATTCAGCAATTCATTCTATATTTCCGAATAATTGTGAGACTATTTTTAAATTTCATCTTGCTGTTTCTCCCGCCTTAGAAATCTGTAATTTTCCTTCATTTCCTATTAAGATTATAGGCAGGCCTTTCAGTTATTCCATAATTCTATTATTTTCTATTTGGTGAACCTTTATAATTCTGCATATTCATCAAAAATGACAATGGATCATGCTAATTCCTGGCTTTCTTCTTTCTGTCCAGTTGGACCAAAGCTGGTTCAAATTGAAATTCTTTCTGGAAATTATCATTGAAAGGCCCCCTTCCTCTCAACTTCAGTTGGCTGAGGTGCCCCAGTAAAATCTGAGATATGCGAATATGTGTTTTTAATTTTCATGTACCCCAAATTTGGCGCTGTGCTTGCCAAAAGGGTCATTCAAGAAGTGCTGTCACATGAATGAGTGCAGCCAACAGGACTTTTAACATGCACCTCTCATTTTACCATCTGCGTATTATGTTGTATGTTGATTATTCTTTGGTGTCATGGGCTGGATCCAATTCCTTTGTATGTAGGAGAATGACCATCACAAAAGGACATGGGAACTGCTTCTTCCTACAGCTTGCTTCTAGTTATGGCCTGATGGAAGAGGTGTATCACATTTTTCATTCCCTAACTATCAACTGTAAAGCTGAGGGGAAAAAAGCATCTTTTCAGGTACCGGATGGGTAGTGCACACTCATCTCAGCTTTCTCAAAGAAATGAACACCAGACAGAACAAAGGTCTTGTGTGGAGGAAATTAAGATTGTAATATGAGGCTGATCGAAGTTCTGGATAGAATAATGGTGTCGCAGTCTGGCTGGGCACAATTCAGGAGCCACTTGTTAAAAGAAACGAACTTTATTTTTAGAACACACACACCAAACCACACAGCTCTTCAGGAAAACCTTCAGAGCCCAACTGCCACCACCGGCTTCCCACAAGCCTCTCAACCTCCCCCACTTCTCCTGATCTTTAGGCCGATTGGCTGGGTCACATGGGCGGAGCCAAAAAAAGTCCCCCAATGAGCAGCTCTGTGGTCTGAAAGAGTGGGGAAACAGCCCAATGAGCATCACCGCAGAGGAGCCAATCAGCAGTTGGCAGCTAGACGTTTGCTGGGGCCCCTTCGGCTGTGGCTCTCAACATCTCCCCCTTTCTGTTTAAACAACAAGCATGTGGCTTAGGGACCGTGCCTGCCTTAGGTTGTCCAATAGTACATATGGTCCTTACCCATCATCAGATGAGCTGACCTCAAGGCGTCAGCCTCCTGTCTTAGGTTGGTACCATTGCAATTGGATCTTACTTGTCATTGACTACCAGTCCAGCATATAACCACACCTGTGGATAGGTCTTTGTACCAGCGGGGGGCTGAGGTTCTTTGCCTCACCTCTGTTGGCCCCCAAATTTTAGCTGAACGACCATGACAAGCAGAAGGGAGGAAGATACACCAAGCCAATTGACGGCTCCTTTTGGAAAAATTGTACCACCGATGACACCATCAGCAAAAATACCCCAACACTACCACAAGTCACTGCACCAACAGATAGTTCACAATGCATACAAGTGAGTTCACAATGCATACAAGTGATACATAGTCCAGGCAAGTTCTGCAAGCAGTTCAGTGATGGCAATTGCAGAGGCTGTAGATTGGTTTTATCTTTGTCTTCACCGGCACTGGGATGAAGATAGGAATTCTGGCAATAATGGCTAAAGAAAAAAATTATGTAACATTCCAGAAGGCACTAAAAGAAAACAATTTTCTGAACAATTTACATTATCTTGAACAGAATTATTAAATATAATGAAAAGGAAAGGTGAAAGTAAACAAACAGATCTGTTAACTTCCTTTTTTGTTCACATATTAAAACAATCCTCAACAGCTGTTTACCCAATTTAAATTAAACCATTTAAATCACGTGAATAAAAAAAAAATATTTGGATCCATTTTTTCATGAGCGTTCATCATATATGATATATGGACATATGTACATACAAACATACAACATAAAACACAAGTGTGCACACATACAAGTGTGCACACATACAACACATAACATAATAGTAAAGACTTTATAACTTTTAACGGGTGAAATCTCAATTGCAATGTTTAAAAACTCTATAGTCAAAAAATAGAACTGATCAGCAAAACATTAACCTAGATCTGTATGAGCTCAAAAAACAAAATAGAACTTCATGATGTGGGAAAGAGTAATAATAAAATAGATATTGAAAAAAGCATCCTGGTTCTGTCGCAGATGTAAGAATAGCCAAACTGGAGTTTTGGATATCAGTTGTTATGGATTTGAGCCAAATCATCTTCTTTTTGGTCTGTAGAAATC